CCAAATTTGAGGATTGTATACTTTTTTATATGCCCCAAATACTCGATACAATTTTTTAATTAAAAAAATTTTAATTCAAAAACTACAAATCTTATCGGCATGAGGACATACAGCAACCATCTCATGGGCAATAGACAGCTTTTGACCAAATTTGGGGCTTGTAGCATCTAAGCCCTGGGAGGAGAAGCGATTGCTTTTTTTTGGTCAGAAGCCGGAATAATAATAATAAGAATAAGTTTAAGTAGCATTACAGTATGTTGGCTTTCTCAAGCCAACATAATAAACCAATAATTTATCTGGGAAATGAGTGCATGTCCAAAAGTGAGCAAAGCTTACAACTTCAGCTGACACCAAACAATTAAAACAACCATTAAAACAACAATAGCACTTTGTTCTCTATGTAAAAGTAAAAAGGAAAAATTACATACCTAGATTAAAAAAAGAAGTGCCGAATTGATAAGAATTTGCAAATGCTGTAAATACAAAAGCACTATTATCTGAATAATTTTTAAAAACTAAACATTAAGAGCCTGTTTTAAAAAAAACGAGGCTTATCCCTGGACTAAAATATTTTATAAAAATGACTTGAGGAAAAACACATAACTAGTGTATATTTTGAAACCGTTCTACTGTGCATATTAGGGATGGGATAATAACAGTTTTTAAGATTTACCATGGTTTGGAAAAATAAAGGTTTTAAAACAAATAATTTTCTGTTATACTGTTCCTACGACATGTATATGAAAGTTGTGTGTGTGTTTACTATTATTTTATTTATTTATTTTTATTTTTTTTATGGCAACAGCTTCTCCACCATCCAAAAGGACTATTTTGGAGAGGCTGCTGGTCAAGCCATGAAAAACAAATTGCTTGAGCACCAACATCCAGCATGCTATAGACCTAAACAGCTCAGTAGCTTACTTTATTTACAACAAAAAATAAATATCCAAATACGTTACTTCAAGTTTGTAAATTTCTTTGCAACTTGATGTTGGAGGTTGTTCAAAAGTTGTTGTTTTTACCCAGACAATTAATTCATTCGATTTCTTTTCGGCTTGGCCATTATTAATCTGGGGTCGCCACAGCGGAATGAACCGCCAACTTATCCAGCACATGTTTTTCACAGCGGATGTCCTTTCGGCTGCATGTCTTTGGACTGTAGGGGAAACTGGAGCACCTGGAGGAAACACACGCGAATGCAGGGAGAACAGGCAAACTCCACACAGCAACACAAACTAACCCAGCCAAGGTTCGAACCAGCAACTTTCTTGCTGTGAGGCGACAGCAATGCCTACTGCGCCACTGCGTCACCCCCAGACATTTTAAAAGAACATGATTTAGAGCAGCAACCACAATACCGTGGTACTGTGATATTTTTAACCAAGGTTATCACACCATTAGAATCTTATATCACCCCATGCCTAGCACATAACAAAAGCTCACAAGCTCAAAAGTTCAGATCTTAGTTCCTGACCTCTTTAAAACCAAACAGGAGACACCAAGCACATATAATATGTCGCAACAATTAAAATCATCAGGTTCTCCACAAGATGGTGAGGTAAATAAAAAAAGTTTTCGTGAATAAACAAAACCAAACAGCCAATTGATCACACCAACTTTTAGTAGCATTTGTGCAGTCTACTTGGAAGCTAAAAATACTCTAGCAAAGCTTCAGCCTCCCGCACAGTGTCACATGCAGCCAGTCGAGTTGAGTTTCACATATCGCATTTAAAGAATATGTCATATTAATCAGCAGATAAGAGAGGCAGCAACACTTAAAACAGACTTATAGCTAAGCTCACGTTCACCACTCTATTACCACCAGTTTGGGTGTAGACCGAAAGCTGTAATTTTATTCCTATCGTCCAATTTACTGACATCAGAATTGTGACTCAACTTCCACTCCAGTTTAAATACGGAGAGTCTTGGCCTTTGTTGCGTCTCGGCTCGAGTTGCATTGGCTTTATTATACCGAACACGAACGGCGCATCAAAAGCATCTTCCTTTGATCTGAAACAGCACAGTTAAACCAATGCATGTTATTATCAAATATTGTCTACCTGACCACCCTGTTGTGTCTGCAACAGATCATGATCCTTTAATCTAGCAGACAAAGTCACGCAAAACACGCAATGAATTATTCACTTTGGGGTTTTTTGAAGATGTGGCAACCGTGTTTATGCACTGTTCGCTGATGGATTCCAATGGTATTAACCACTGACAATCTCAAAGGGAGCATGTTCACCGCTTCGCTATGAGGAAAAGAGCGTCCACCTAAAAGAGAGTTTAAATTAGTAGCAGGGACTGGATTAAAATAGAAACCACTGGTTCAGGCTCATTTGGCAGAAAGCTGAATCTTTCTTATCAAAAGCAAACTTCTACAGCTTGGAAGGTTGAGCAATCGTTCCTAGGACCTACATATTCAACAAACAAATGTTATCAATGCGACGTCATGGGTTCAGTCAAATCCTGACTACCTCACATTGCTTTATCTTTGTTTTTAGATAAGCAGATAAGCTTGGTGGTTTGGAAAACTGGTAGACTTTGTTTTAAAGTAAACAATAATTCAATCTTATGCCCCATTTTTCCTTAATGTCCTTTAAAACAATTTTTTTCATCAAGTTTACAAAATATAATAAATGTTTTTTTATAAGTAGAGATAAAAAAAATTATTTTTACATAAATGTTACACAATGATGCTGAAGTAACACTCGAATTTGAGCATGGAAAATTCTGTAGTACGGCGCAGGATAAATCATTTTAAAAAAGTGAGCAATTGTGGAAATTTTACATTTCTGTCCATAGAGGTCATGTTTTGATGTTCTATTGGTCTTACGCAGTCACATGATGCGATTTCACAGGTCAGAGCTCACCAAGCTTTAACTTTGAATGCAGCGAACGATTGTTGCTAGATCAGATATGGTTGCGGCCATATCCCATTTATTGTATTTTATTAACGTCTACCCCTGCCCCAACCCTAAACCCAACCATCACAGTAACGTAAAAACAGTAGCTGTACTGAGTATTATTTATGTGATCTATTAAATTACCCAATAAATTAATTTTTAACGCCTACCCTCACCCCAATATTATTGTTATAGTGCTAGTAAAAGTGCTGCTATATTGATGTGCATATCGTACTTCCGGCTGGTCATGTATCCGATCTAGACTTTACCACAGCGAAATACGAAACTTGTCACACGAGCTTGCATTTCCAGCCTGATGCATTTGCATGCGTTTAAATGGAAGTCTATAGGGAGACCAGTAAGTCCAGTAAGACCACGGCTTGACAATAGAACATTCTTCTACCAATAATATTTGTGAACTTTTAATAATACATTACTGTAAAATTTTACTTTCTTTTTATTCTGTAAACTACTAATGACATTTCTTCCTAAATCAAACAAATTTGTCATCTAAATAATTTATTACATTTGTTTTGCAAAAAATAAAGTGCCAAGCTAACATTCATGTTTAGGTTTTTTTGTTTTTTTTTTTTGTTAGAGAAGACTTTGTTTTAAAGTAAATAATAATTATTTTTTTCCACAATATTTTGCCCCATTTTTTCTTTAATGTCCTTCAAAAAAAAACTTTTCAGCAAGTTTATCAAATATAATAAAAAAATGTTAAGTACTGATAAAAATGTGTTTTATTTTTAGATAAATGTTGCACTGAATGATGCCGCAGTCACACTCAAGTTTGATCATGTGAAAATCTGTAGTACGACACTGCGAAAAGAGCCAAGATTAAACAAGATAAGACATTTATATTAAAAAAATCAAAAATAATAAGCAATTGGTCCATATTTTACATTTCTGTACAGAGGTCATGTTTTGATGTTCAATTTTTCTTATTGGATCAAGTGATGCAATTACACATATCAGAGTTCGCCAAGCTTTAACTTTGCACCGCAGCGAACGGTTGTTGCCAGATCGGATACAGTTGAGGCCTGAGTTTAACGAGAATTTATTATATTAATTATAAAATTTTCCATGTGTTGTATTTTGAGAAAGTCCACCCCCACCCCAACCCTAGACCAAACCATCACAGTAGCGTAAAAACAGTAGTTGTAATGAGTATTAATTATGCCATCTATTAAATCACCCAATAAACTGTTTTTTATTAACGTCTACCGGAACTTTTAATTATGCTCTACTGTAAAACATAACTTTTATTTTATTCTGTAAACTACAAATGACATTTTTTCTAAATTCAAAATAAATTGTCATATAAATTATTTATTAAATTTGTTTCGCAAAAAATAAAGTGCCAAGCTATCAGGCATGTTTATGTTTGTTTTGTGTTAGAAAACCAATATCTGGTGGAATAAATCACAATTTTAACATCATTTGCTTCATAAAAGGTTCTAAATAGTTTTTTTTTTAATTGGAAGAAACAGACTGCTGTAAAATAATAATAAAAAACCACATACTACTCATACCCAAATCTAACCATTTTGTTCGTGGGGATCTTTAACTTTGCCATTACTAATTCACTGTGGCCATTAACAAGTTTGCTGAGGGCCCCCCGTTGTGAATCCAGCATAACCAGAAATATGTAAACCTATAATTTAAATGATTAAAACTTTATAATCCGTAATTTCCAAGACTTCCTGGGTCTAAAATAAAGGTGGGAAATAAAACCAAATATTCCCCACACACTTCCAGTTTTTCCACCAACCTGGCAGCCAAGTGCTTTAAACCAAACTAGACAGTCTGCCACCAGACCAACACACATCTAACAACTTATTTTCTTTTATCACCTGCTGTGGGCTCAATTAACGGCTTCATTGGCGCAAGAAGTGCTTGATAAGGAAGCCACCAACAGCAAAGGGCAGGGACTGGGTCGCCACACCGAAGTTCCTGCTCGTTTTAAGGGGAATGTGTTGAGCTGAGTGGGTGATTTGCTGTCAGGCAGGGAAATAACTGTCGCCTGCTGTTCACTGTTAGCCTGTTAGCTCTGTTTATCCAGCCTCGCGTTGCGCTCGACGCGCGTCTTACCTTGTTGCTCTGGTAGTCCTCAAACGCCCGCAGAGCGCTGTCTGTCAGCTTGACGTGATAGACGGAGATTTTGCTGCCATTGCTCACTCTTCCACAGGACAGTCCGTAACACTGCTCCTCCTTCAACGCCGCCATCTTGCTCGCATTTCCCACCACGCTCACGCGCCTCTGCCGTGAACGCAACAAGCAGCTCGAGCGGAGAGTATGAATATTCATCCGGCGTGAATTACGTACAGGCGGGAAGGGGCGTGGCCTCGCAGTAATCACGAGAGAGATGACCAGTGATGGGGAGCCCGGCGACTCGGTTCTTTCGAGCGGTTCAAAAATGATTCACCTGTTCTTTTACCTGGTCAGTGATATTACATGCGCTTAAAGTCCTTTAATAGTACGTATTACTATGCATTTATAAGTGTTTTGTAAAAAGGAATGAAAAAAAAGTATTTTCCTTGCTTTATTATATTTATTTTAGGATACTGGGAGGATTTCAAAACGTGGCAGTGTTTTATAAAGCCTTAAAATGTGGCATATTTTTAATCTACATTTACATATCTATTTGGCTAGGAGAAGTGGTAAACGTATGAGAAAAAACTCTTGTCAGCAGTTTTATTTGTAACTAACTACACAACTTTTGGTCACATCACAATTATGCAAAAAGTATTACAATATACAGAAGTGTTAGTTTCAAAACAAATCTTGCATATATCAAGTTTATTTCTTTAGTTAGCTACTAGCTAGGCAGAAACAGTGGAATACATTATAATACTTCTCTGACTTAATTTACAGTAAGGTATTTTTGCAATAACCAAACCTCATATATCTTTAAAATGGCCCCAGCTGAAAGTTGCTGTTATAGACTTTAAATATACGCTTGTGGTAACATAATTTCTGCTACTGTACAATAAACATTCTTTAAAGCAGTAGTTTGAGTCACAATTGGTTACTCGAGATCCACCGATTCGAATCTTTCACTGAAAAGATCCGACTCAAACAATTCTTTCTCGCGAATTAGATGTGTCTACAAATGACCGATGAATGGCGTCATTAGATAGATAGTTTTATTACTACTGTATGATTTCTTTTCGAAGTTTTATCGACAATAAGGGAAACATTTCGTTTTGAAATGTGTGAATTAACCATGTTTGGCTGTGTTTTGTACAATGTAAACTCTTGGCTGGGGGTGGGGGAAGGATTTGGATTGAACCTTCACAGAACTGCGTCAGAAAAACGTCAATGCCTGGAAAAAAAAACCCATGAATAGGGATTGCCCCACTAGACTCCAGGGAAAGACAAGTTTTCGTCACATCATGCAATTCACATCGAACGCATGTTAAATAGAAAGTTTAATCTTATCGAACCCATACGTCACAAACGAGACATTATATTTATTGTACTACTTCACTCAGCTAGTTATATTGTTATTTAGTACTACTTTTAGTACTTCTTCAGAAAATGCACATCTAGCAAACAGTTTAAAGAAATCACTTTATTTTCAATCATATGAACAGAAAGTGCAAAAGTTTATTTGAGGAAATACAAAACAACTTAAAAGGGAATGTTGGAAGCTACCAATACAACAAAAGAAAATGGAATGGGGAACTGAGACGATCAATGTAAGGATAATTTAAAATGGTCACATTTCTGTCATCCTAAATAAATAATTCTAACGGAATGCACAGAATTCTTGTAGGCGCTGTAAAAACTGCAAAAATTCTGGAAACATAATTGAGAGACAGCTGATTTGAACACATCCGCTTGGTGCAGTGATATTTTGGAGCCTATGAAGCTAAGGCAGAAGAAATAGTGAATAGTGTACCACGGAAGTGTAAGGACCTTTGAAATAGTGTTCTCTTTCTTTAGCATTAGAAGTTAAAGATGAAGAAAAAAAAGCATACAATCATATTCTTGACTGTTCACAAGCAAGTTTCAGTTCACCAAAAATAAGATCACGAAACTTCACAAATGCTGTTTTCAGTCAAAGAATTCTGCAGCAAAACGGTCCAGCGTCATTCTGTACATCCACACATCTCTTAACTACAACTAGAAACTTCTCTGTACATAAATAGGAATTATTATATATTATCTCTCGCATCTATTTCTTCCCCAGCTGATCTTTCATGCATTGAAAGTAAAGCGGGAACATTACTTAAAACCAACAGGGTGAGATGGAGCTCAACAAAACATACAACAATTTCTCTTTTAAATCTAATTTTTTTGTACAATAAAGGTCAGTGAGGTGTTTCAGGGGCCTGTTGAGCTCAAGATCTTCAGCACCACGTCATCATCCATCACAGCTGACTTCAGTTAATTTCTAGCTGCGATGACGACTGATAAAGCTACACCACCAATTGCAACGGCTGTAGCCCCAAAGAGCCACTTCCAGCTGAGACCCTGTTAAAAAAAGACAAATACTTGTTTAAAACATGAAAACGGTCATTGTTTAGCTGCTCTACGGTCATTTTGATGTTAATTAAAGGTATAGTTCACCCCCCATAAATGTATGCGTCCTCCACTTGACTCAGAAACTGTTCAACACAAAGGAAGGTTTATTGAAGATTGTTGAATAAGGTGGCCATTGACTTTCATGATTGTTTTGGTCCTTAAGGCTGATTTATACTTCTGCGTTAAGTAATTGGCGTGATCCATGGCGCATACCTTGCGTACATTTGTGCATTTATAGTTCTCCGCACTATTTGTGTTGCTCTGCAATAACACTTTCAAATTGCTAGCTGGCAGTAGGTATAATGTTCCTCTGTGTCAAGGTTCACTACGGGTGTTTTGTTTTTTTCAGATTGATACAAGTAGCTAAAACTTGCTTATTCAGACGGGGGAACCAGCAGACGTGCAACAACATTAATCATAAGGTAAACACAAAACAAAAGTTTCTATCTGGAGCTACTCAGCGGGACTCGACACTTGTAAACACTCCCTTCATCGCGCTCGCAGCACCGCCCACACTTTTAACCGCTACCAAGCATCACCAATCACAGAGCTTGCGCTACGCATCGTTGCGACGTGTACTTAAATTTTTTGAGAGGTGCTTGTTAGTGTCGGCATCAGCCGCTAAGGGCTATGGGACTGCGTGAAGGCTGCTCCTGACCATACACGTGCGATTGATGCATAAGTAAAAATTAACCTTTAAACCTGGTTTATAATTCTGGGTCGAGTGAGCGGTGTGACCCACGGCACATGTAATGTGCATTGCCGTGCATTTATAGTTCTATGTGCTGTTTATGTTGCTCTGCAGTAACACAGTAACACTAATGCTAGCTCACAGTAGGTTTTTATGTTCCTCTGTGTTGAGTTTCTTCGCTGACGTTTTGTTTTTTCTGAACCCTACCTTAATGTAAAAGTGGCTCAAACTTGCTCATTTTGAGGTGGGAACCGCTGAATGTGCAACAACATTAATCATAAGGTAAATCCAAAACAAGTTTGCATCTGGAGCTATTTCACGGGACTCAACACTTGTGAACACTTGCTTCATCGGGCTCGCGCAGCTCTCACCCCCGCCCACACTTGTCAGTGATACCAAGCCGCCCACTCACAGAGCTTGCGTTATGCGTCGCTGCGACCTGTAGTTACATTTTTTGAGAGTTTCGCTTCAGCGTCAGTGACGGCCATGGTGAAGGATAAACGATCACGAGCAGGCTACGCTGATGTATATGCGTGAGCTTGAAGCAGAAGTATAAATCAGCCTTTACTATGGATGTCGATAGCAGTTCATTCTACCATTCACAGTACTTTTATAGGAGAACGCAAACATTTTGTGAGGAAATGCAAAGTTTCTGCAGAAAAGCAACAGTCAGACCCCCTAGTTTTTGGCTATGATTACCGAATGCAAAATAAACAAAAAGTCGAAAATTTTTACAATCCTGCAAAATTCTTAATTAAATGCAAAACTATAGCAAAAAAATGCACATAATCCCATAAAACATCACATTCCAAACTTTATAATCAAATTATATTTATTTCAGTTTGCAATTAATTATTTGACATGACTTATAGATATTGTGTACGCAGCAAATGTGATGTATTTAAGTGTCTCTCAAAAAAATTCACATCTCATCTGCCCCCTTACAATTTATATATATATATATATATATATATATATATATATAGTCCTCAAATTTCTGAGAATTGCTACCACAAAATCAGTAATTTTTATCACAAAAATGGGGCCAACGGTTCCGTTTTTAATCCGGTTTTATATGGTCAACTATTGTAGCATCACTTAACTAGGAATTATTTAAAGGGTTAATAACTTTTTATTTTTAGGCATTGAAACCAAACTGTTTCTGTATAGTTTATTTACATTTCCTATGCTCTCTTATTTCTGTTTTATTTATTATGTCTATACTGCTTGTCTGTATCTTCTCTGTAAAGCACTTTGTGCGGCCGTTTGGAAATGTGCTATATAAATAAATTAAACATGAACTAAATGACTCCTATAATCCTAGGATAAAGTCTCTGGTCTTAGATCATTGTTTGGAGTTGTTCACCAAAGGCTGACTAATGATCAAATATTCCCTCCGATGAAATTCTGGCAGTGTCACAGATTGATGACGTCAAACTCCAGATGAGATCTGCATGTGTCCGTGTTTGGCAAGTCTTGATTGCTGTTATGACATGGGGATCATGTTTGTTTAGTCTGACAGGCTTCGATCATAAAGCACTATTAAATATCGCTACGTGAACTAAGCTTGACTTATATATCATTGTACAATTTTTTTAGTACAAATATTTAACTGTCCATTTGGTGCGCATGATCATGCACTTGATCATTTATTAAATCCACTTCCTGCTGAGCGTAAACACAGACAGGCCAGCTCATAAATAAACAGCACATAGTGTTAAATAGTTGAAATAGGGACAGTTTGTGCTCTCACCCATGAGGACTTGGCACGGTGTTTCTGCACACTGCTGTTGGACGGGTTACCCAGCATCTTTTTATACATGGCCTGTTCGGCTCCTTTCTGCTCCGAGTGTTTCTTCACAAGCTTCGACAGCTCAGCGTGGATAGTCTGCCAACGAAAGGGCAGAGAGAGAGAGTGAAAAGTGTGTGTGTGGCTGATGAAACTGTTGCTCGCTGTGGCACACAAACACAGCTGAGCGGTAGAAATGGATCAAACATGACAGTGCCGTCAGGTTTTAAGTGAAAGCCTAACAAAAGTCGAGGCATAAGCCGATTTGAGATTCAACCTTATTCGCCTGTTTCCCAATATCAGCTGCAATGCCGCAAAAGCAGAACTGAAAGCATCCTGTACTGAAGAAATGTGTCTTTATTTTGGTCACAAACACACCATTTGTCCTCATTCAAAATCAAAATCCATGACCGTCATTAGGTCAAAAATGGGGTTAAGATGTTTAGATTTACACTACCTGACAAAAGTCTTGTCTCCTATCCAAATTTTTGGAAAAACAAATTTAAATTAATAATAACTGAAAGGCAAAAGCCTCTAGATTACACTTATTTTACCAAAACAGAATATGATCATGCCTTGATTTTTAATTATTTAATTAGGACCGTAAGGTCTGACTTTGCTTAAACAAAAGTCTTAATTAAAATAATGTACAGTATAGAATATAAAGTCATGGTGCAGTGAGAAAAGAATTAATGTTGTGTATGACTCCCATGAGCTTCGCCGACTGCTTCTATACATCTCTGGAATTACTCAAATAACTTATTAATAAAGTCATCAGGAATGGCAAAGAAAGTGATCTTACAGGACCCCTAGAGTTCATCAAGATTCTTTATAATCAAATTCAATTCCTCCTCTATCATCTTACCCCAGACACACTCAATAATGTTCATGTCTGGTGAGTGGGTTGGCCATTCCTTGAGCACCTTGACATTTTTTGCTTATTATTTGTTGCTCTTACACCTGGGATCGACGACAAGACTTATGTCAGGTAGTGTAGATCTAAACCTCTTCACTCTGTTTTAGACCAAATGAAGGTCAAGGATTTTGATTTTGAACTCTTGAACGAGGACAAATGATGTGTTTGCGTGTTTGTTTCTGCCAATGCAGAGGAGTTTGATTAATTTAATGAATTAGTATATATATTGAGATTCCTTTGTTTCAAGAAACAGCATGATTCCGTTGTGAGATAAATCTTTACTTGAATCCTAGGTGTGGTTTGTTTAAATGAATCAGAATTGTTCGGACTGTAGCAATTCAGTTCATTAGGATTTTTGGTTGAATCGTGTATAAATTTCTGCTAATCTTGTATTAATTTACAAACTGATTCGTTCAACAGTAGAGTTTATAATAATGTAGTGTGGTGGCGCAGTGACACAGTGGGTAGCGCTGCCACCTCAGAGCAAGAAGATCGCTGGTTCGAGCCTCGACTGGGTCATGTGCTATAGGTGAATTGGGTCATCTAAATATCTAAATTGTCCGGAGTGTATGGGTGTTCCCAGTGATCGGTTGCAGGTAGAAGGGCATCCGCTGCGTAAAACATATGCTGGATAAGTTGGCGGTTCATTCCACTGAGGTGATTAATAAAGGGACTAAGCCGAAAAGAAAATAAATGAATGAATAATGTAGCGTTAAGGATGATCAATTTGCAAAATTATTCAACTTACCGAGTCACATATGTAAGAAAGACCATTATGAAGAACAAAACCTGCTAAATCACTGCGTTAACCTATAAACATTGAAATTACCCATCAGCTTAATATGCCCAATTAAACCGAACAGTGTGTCATTATCATTATTAATAAGCAAAGAGCGACGACTAAACAAACAGCATCTTGATTGTTGACTTTCAAGAGCCGCCCGAGTCAAAATATCCCATGACAACCTGCCATTTCGTTTAATTGCCGCTACAGTATAATTAGCGGCTAATGGCAAAAACATGTGGCGTGAAGGCAAACCGGTGCTGTGTGATCAGAGGGGATGAAGGAACTGAGCCTAGGAGCCTCTGTAAAGGCCAGACACATGAGAAGAGAGGGTGTAAATGTGCAGACGTAGGTGTTTTGGCTGGTCCTACAGCAGAGAGGAGCTGTCAGATGGTGGGACGCAGGGAACCTCATCCATCCGGCAGTGTAAGCAGAGCAGGCCAGCGCTGCTTTAGATATGGCCAGTGCGCGGAGGGAGATGGGTATTTATAGACGCGGAAAGAAATGTGATACTTTGAGTTTTTGAACAGGCTGTTCTGGGTCTGCAGCGCCCTCTGCTGGTGACGATGTGAAATGCATTTGTTTCTGGGACTTTATAAAAAAAAAAGTAGTTCTTGACAGTTTTATAATAAAACATTGTTTATTAACATATGGAGAGTTTAGATGCAAATACCTCTAACTGCCATCTGAAATTTTCCTCTAAAATGAACATTTTTATCAGGATCCTGTCATGTAGGTTCAGTAATATCACATTTATGGCAAAGGTCAAGTCCTTTTCCTGGTCTTTAAAGTAAAATAACTCAACATAAACAAAGGACGCTGAGAAAAATGTTCATTTTCAATGAAAATTTGAGATGGTACTTTGAGGTTTTTGCATCTGAACTCTTCATATATTTCCGACATGATAACATTAAATAAATATATGAAATAAAATAGTACTTCAGGTGAGGACTTTTAATGAAAGACGCAATTATGAAATAATGTTAACCCTTGTGCACGGTTCAAATGTACTACCCTTTTGTAATGTTCGGGATGAAAACATCCTCTGAATTAAACCGTTGTAAAAATGCATCAGATAAATATTTTTTTCAATGTTATTGCATAACATCTGTTTATCAACCTCAGTCCTAATCAAAACTACAAATTTTTTTTAAAACAAATTCACAAATGATGTCACTGAGTTGGTGTATAAAAAAATAAATACACAAACAAATTACGTATTTTCGATATAAAAAAAGATATTGTGGGCTGGATTTTTTTAAACCTTTTATCACAGTCTTCGACATGTAAATGATTAGTACCAGCATTGGCTTTGATGCATTGTTAGATTTTTTTTTTCTCCCTAATTTACTGTTGGTGGCTGTTTTAGCCCTATTGACTTCCATTATAACCACATTTGATGGAGCATGAATACACAGTCTTTGATTTTTATTTACTCTATGTAGTTCAGAGAGCTGAGATCCATATTTTGATTTTCTCAGACGAATAAAGGTAAATGCCATACCCATCAACATTGGTATGTGAAAATAAGGGATATGCCCACCATAATAAGGGATATCTCTTATATCTCAGCCCAAATAAATCCCCAAATTACTAAATATGTTCTTCTGGAGCTGTTTCATTGTAAATAAACTGTCAATAATATGTTTTATTATTATTATTATTATTTACAAAAGAAAAAATAAATAGTATACATTAGCAGCAAATACATTAGCAAACAGTTTAGCTTATTAAAATTAATAGCTATCATAAAGAAATAAAATCAAGTTATCAAATCTCATTAACCTTTTCTTCACTGTATAACTGACACATTCTGATTAAAGAGCAGTGAATGAATCTCTCATTTGAGCAGATTACATTAAATAACAGAGGTGTCACTTTAAAAAGGCACACATCTAATGTTATAATGAAAGCATTTGATTGCTTTCATTATATGCTCATTTAGGACAAAATTAGTTGTTTGAAAAACTCCCCACCAAGATCGACATCTTTAGATGTTGGTATTATTATGTGCATATGTCTGTTCAAACAAGCACCCAAAACCCAGATTTTCGCTCTGCTTCAAATCAAGAGTACAGAATCTGTTTGGGAAACAGAGTCTATTGCTTACTATGGAGCGCATCTGCCGACAGTCACACACCGCTATATGACGTTTTGTGGATTGCATAGGAGGGGTGACCTGTAATGAAAAGAAAAGGGAATCCTGCCATTTTTAATGTTTATTGCCACCCTTCAGAGAAAGACTGAAAATATATGGGAAAAGAATATGGGAAAATACCTTTACAGGATGATAGAACTTTAAATACGAGAAAGTCCCAGAAAAAACTGGAGGTATGGTAAGTGCGCAAATGCCACTCCCATACACATACACACACTTTATTTTGCTGTTATACTCCATACAAAGTCCAGAAACTAAGCTGTTGTTCACACAGGCCTATCTAAAGGGTTAATGGTGCCAACTGATGATCAACAGTAAAAATGCTAATTTTATGTCTTCCCAACTGGGAAAACCACCAACAATCAAAAATGCATGATTATATGGTGTCACGGTTTTGCAATAAAAAAAAGTGGTTATAATGGAAGTCAAGGGGGCAAAAACAGCCACCAACAGTAAATTAGGGAGAAAAAAATGGAAAATCATTTAAAAACAATGCATCAAAGTCAATGCTGTTTCACATGCCCAATGTTGTTTTACATGTGATAAAAAATTTTTTTAAATCCAGTCCACAATTATTACTTTTTACTTTGAAAATACGTAATTTTGTGTGTTTTCTTCACCAAATCAGTGAGATCATTTGTGAATTTGTCAACTAAAGAGAATCCTGTAATGGTCTAAGCAATTTAGTAGTTTTGTTCAGGGCTGAGGTTGATTAACAGATTTATGCAACAGAATAAAAAAAAAAAAAAAACTTTATTATTAATTTTTACAGCTGTAAAATTTAGTGGATATTTTCATCCCAAACATAACAAAAGGATAGTCAATTTGCCCATAGTGTTTTATTGAGTTCACTAAAAATTCCAAGGCATTTTGTCAAAATATGTGTCAAAATAAGATGTCAAAAAAAATCATTCTGCTCGCTGAAACACAAAAAAGTTGTCAAATTAAGACTCAAAATTACCCCAGAGCGGATGAAAACATCCCCAACAGCACATAAGTAAAATAAGATCAAATAAAGAAATAATATTTTAGAAAGGAAATATGAGACAAAATAGAAAGAAGACGAAGATAGAATTAAATAAAATAAACAATTAAAGACATAAAAATAATAACAATAACATAAAAACAATGAAATACAACTTTGATAACAAAAGTGGTACAAAGTAAAAGACAAACACATTAAAATACTGAATAAATTAGGTAAAGATACAAATATAAAAGAAGATGACATACAAAAATAAATAATATATATAGAACTTAAACCAGAGGAAGATCAAAATATATGTTAAATAAATTGAGATAAAAGACAATAAGATTAAAGATCTAAAATAAAAGATTAATTAAGATCTCAAAAATAAATAAATATAAAATTAACAAGAAAAACACATATAGGATAGAGAAAATAGAGAAAAATCTGTAAAACAAATTAAGTTAAATAAGATGTGAGATGAAGATATAAACGTAAATAAAAATAAGGTATACATTTAAAAAATTAAAATGAGATCAAACAAAAATATTATAATAATATAAATAAATTAAGATTGAACTATATATATTATAGATAAAAACTAAATCAAATAATTTTGTCACTTCTGTTACCTTATTACTTGGCTCCAACTTCAAAGCCATTTTCAGTGTTTTAATGGCTTCAGCAAACTCTCCCTGCAGAGCCAGGACCTACACACACACACACACACACACACACACACACGCACACACACACACACACACACACGCGCAAACACAAACACACACAAACACAAACACACACAAACACACACAAACACACACAAACACACACACACACACACACACACACACACACACACACACACACACACACACACACAGACACACAGACACACAGACACACAGACACACAGACACACAGACACACAGACACACAAAAACACAAAAACACACATCAGCACCTTTTAATCTCAAGACATCTCAGTCAGTGCTAAACTTCCTCTGCTGTGGCCGGAAACCTAAATGCCACTGAATAACCAACCAACCTGCATTTTTGTGTCCAAACTCAGGAAGGCATTACTATTTAATGAGAGTGAGTGAAACCGATCCTCATCTGAACCCAAGAAACTAACCTTGCCTTTGCGGAACAGGGCTTTGACATTGTCCGGCTGGTGCGCCAGAACAGAGACGCAGGAGCGCAGTGCGGCTTCATAGTGGTCAAGCTTAAGCTGAGCAGCCGCCATATTGTTCAGACATTTCACCTTCATGTCCAAAAGTTCTTCCTCTTCTTCTTGACTGATATCCACTGGGTAAAAAAAAATATTAGCATATGATTGCAGATGTGACCAATAAATTATCTAGGCAATAATTGACAGCAAGCTGAATTATTAGACTATAATGCACATCCAAGGTGGTCACAATAATAATTCATTCCTTTTTTCAGTTTCCTTTGGCTTAGTGCCTTATTTATCAGGGGTCAACACAGCAGAATGAACCGACAACTATTCCAGTATATGTTTTACGCAGAGGATGCCCTTCCAGCTGCAACCCAGCACTGGGAAACACCCATACATTCACACACACTCCGAATGGCCAATTTTGCTCACCAAATGACTGTGCGAACACGGGGAGAACATGCAAACTCCACACAGGAATGACAACTAGCCCAGCCGGGACTCGAACCAGCAACCTTCTTGCTGTGAGGCGATAGTGCTAACCACTGAGCCACCGTGCCGCCCTCATAATGATTCCATAATTGTTAATTATTTTGCCTACTACAGTTAAAACACACCTAAAGACGATGTGGCATATTAAAACATCTGTAAGGTTTTGACCTCACAATTCTCCTGTGTTTAGGACTAGTTTCTTACATTTCTAATCTAATGGCTTCTGTTTTGTTTTGAATATTGAGACTTTAGAGATTAATAAAAATTGTTAGATAACTGAAATCGTTCAGAGTAGTGATATGGGACCGTATTGTGGTCAAAACCTGCCTGGAACTACTTTAGCTGTGAGTTTATCTGAAAATAACTGCACATCTCAGAACTTCATGAGTCAACTAGATACACATTTTCAATACCTATAATATAGTGGGTATAATTTAGTAGAGTTTATAGTATAAAATAATTTGATATAAACAACATGGGCAACGTATTAAGGAGTAGGGCTGGGCATTAAAATAAACACTGAGAGAGAAAAGCAGCTTAAAATATGAGCCGCAAAATATGCCATGCTGCACTTTGAAACCCATTCATTTCAATGGCTTGCATCAGACAAGGGCGGTTTGTTGCTGCACTGTTGAAAGCCCAAGAACAGTGGAGTGCTCCATCAACTACGCATACACCATGGTCAAAGTTCAAAACAGCCTTATATGCCACAATGTACACGCTTATTTCTCTTTGCATGCTCCTCCTGCTGCTTGCAATAGTGCCACTGCGCTGTCATGGCAACACTGTAAAATGACGCCTCTCAATCACAGGCAATACAATTTTACTGTTAATAAAATGGGGTTATTTAATTGGCTTGTGTTTTTATGAATCAGTATAATAGAAAGTTAAATTTAGAATCTTACAAAACTACTTTATATTACATTATAAAATAATAAATCATTATTACAAAGCAGATGACGCAGTGGGTAGCACGTACGCCTCACAGCAAGAAGGTCGCTTGTTCGAGCTTCGACTGGGTCAGTTGGCATTTCTGTGTGGAGTTTGCATGTTCTCCCCGTGTTCGTGTGGGTTTCCTCTGGGTGCTCCGGTTTCCCCCACAGTCCAAAGACATGTGGTATAGATGAAATGGGTATGCTAAAATTGACCATAGTGTATGAGGGTGGTGTGTGAATGAGTGGGTATGGATGTGTTCGGTGTTGGGTTGCAGCTGGAAGGGCATCCGCTGCGTAAAACATTTGCTGGATAAGTTGGCGGTTCATTCCACAGTGGCGACCCCAGATTAACAAAGGGACTAAGTCGAAAAGAAAATGAATAAATGAATGTTACAAAGCATCTTTGGTTTCGGTTTTCAGCCAAGTGCACCCAGAATTTTTCAGTTTCAGATCAGAATATTAGTTGTGGAGCATCTCTAATAAATAATTATTATGTTTATTATATTATGCAGTTATTAATACAAGGCTCAAAATTGCGAGCATTTTCGTTGCATATGCGCCTGAAATTTAATCTATGCGACCTCATAAGATATTTGGGAGCATTTGTGCGACTGCATGTAATGGGTATAGTGTCACCTGTTTAGAATTTTTTCTAAAGACATGCTGAATCGCTCTTCCCTGCCGCTATATTGGTTCATATTAGCTGTCAATCACTCAAGGCTTTCTGCTGTCAGATGTTAGGGAGCTTTTGTGACCATGGGAAATGCAAACGGCTGAAGAGTAAAAAAGTAAACAGTAAAATAAAATATAAATCAGTACTTGATATAAATCAAGTAAAATATAAATCAGTGCAAAACGAGACTGAGCATTTAAAATGACAAAAACCCAAACCAAAACCTTTAGAGTGGTAGAACTGAAACTTTTCTTCCTTTCTTTTGTCCATTCTTTCTTGAGATGTTTTTTTTATTTTTCTATTTAGTTACTAACAAAAAAACTGTTGCAGATTTCAGCATTTAATTGAATGATTTATTATAGTCTTTCATTTGTTTTGTTGCAGAAATACTATTTATTAAATTGAGATGCATATTAAAACAATAGTGCAAACTGTATATTTCTTACTGCAATGCTTTATTTTTGTTAAATGCAATCCATATATTTATTTTTTATAATGTAACAGACTTTTGATAGCAAAGAACTTGCATTTAAGCACATTCAAGACAGCATGATAATGAGAAATGTAATTCATTGCTAGTATTATTGTCATTTTCGTCATCATTCATTCGTTTAGAAGTTATTGCACAAATATTAATAAGTAATCACAGCATTAGTTAGACAGTTTCTGTTTTTTTTTGTTAGTCCTAATTGATGTTGTTTTCAAATACAATAAATCTTTTAAAATACAATATGCAGTGGTGCTCACTCATTTTTCGTGGGTGCTCCTAAATTTTTTCTGGTGCTCCTAAATATATGAAGTTGGAAGCACTGGCACTACGAAGTAAAAAAGTTGATTTCGAGGCCTGTTATAATATTACCTTTAATTAATAATAACAAAATACAAATAAAACATTCACTGCTCTTGACTAAATATGTTTCATTGCTGTGTTTTATTTAGAATAATTACAAAATACGAAGTTAAATGAATAAAAAGAATAAAATTCCTTGTCTCCGACTTTGAAAACCCCTTCTATATTTCATATTATGACTAAAATTCATGCATCTGAAATTCTGTTTTAATTTACACATGCACCTGAAATAAAGTGTTAACTGATAATTGTTATGAATATCAGCAGCATTAGTATTTAAAATGTACTCATTGAATACAAAGCTTGCGAATCAGAATCAAATCAAAGGGGTCATCTGAATCGATACGATTAAGTCATTTTTTGCTGGATTTTCTTTAGGTAAATTATTAATTTGTCAAGTAAATCCACTTGAAAAGAAAGGTTTGTTTTGGTAATCTTCAATCAAAGTCTGATTATTGTCTAATGCCGAGTTCAGACTGCATGATTTTCAAAGTAGTCGTGTCACAGATGTTTTCACACTGCATGACTATCTGGGCTAGCGTTTCGTCGCTGCTTTGTTTACACTGCAAGATGGATCGGCGACAGGGACTTTCACATTGCATGACTTTACTATAGGAAGAATCGCCGACAACTTCGTCCAAACTACGTCTCACAGCCAAAAACATGTCATATATCTTCTGTTATTAACTACATAATGAGAAAGAAGGCTTTAATGGGGTAGAACATGTACATGTTTGCTTACCTCGGTTTAAAGGGAATTAGCCATTTCTCCTCAACGTTAATAATAAACTAATTTTTTCTGTATGAAACGTCAAACAGACACGGGTGCTCCTGAGTCCTTTCAAAGCTCCACTAGTTTTTCCTCCATTTCGTGGGTCCAAATAAACCGAAAAAGAGCGCTTTTAACTTCTCCCCCAGCCTCCCGCTGGCCTGCAGCAGGTATACACACACGCACACACAAGTGAAAGCTGCTCTCTCATTGGCTGTAGGCGATGGCTGATGTTATTTTCTGTCAAAACTCAATTCACACAGCATGATTTGAATCGCCGACAGCTCCAGAAATTTAGCATGCCAAATATCTCACAGGCATCGGCGACTCATCTGCGATTTTCTCAGATCGCGTCTTTGATAGTTCATACTGTGTGATTGTCACTCACGTGCACGAGCAGCGATTTGCCTGTGATTTCAGGCATTTGTCGGCGATTTCTAAAAAACCTGTCGGCGAGCTAAAATCGGGGCTAAAATCACACAGTCTGAACTAGGCATTAATTGCTTACCTGAAATAGTGTTTACTGATTTTTTTTTAATGAATATCAACAGCATTTCTATTAATAATGTATTCAATTAAAAGGAAAACAAATCGAGAGCTTGTGAATAAGAGTCTAATCAAACCAAACGGGTCACCTAAATCGATACCCTTAAGTCTATCAAAATGAACAATGTTTATTTGGCTACCGCACATTATTATTCTTTAGGTGAACTATTATTCCGTAAAGTTAATCCACTTAAAAAAAGTTTGTTTTAGTAATCTTCAATCAAAGTTTTTAATTAAAGCATCTGCGTTTCGAGTGACTCTTTTTACTTCTAACATCAGTTTGACCGTTTTACCTACAATATTCTTTACCGTTAGTTTGCTATAAGGAAATGAAGACCAAAAAGAAAGCCCCGCCCCTTAATCAATATTCCGTTACAGTACATCAACACACTGAAATAAAAGTCTCAGCAACTTCCGATTTACATGGACTTTAAGGAGCATTACCTCTCGAACTTGCTTCAGTTATCTGTAGCGCAATTCCGTACGAGTTGACAGCAAAGGCATAGTCGGCGCGCTGGTAGTGGACGTTTCCTCTCTCTCGCTTCCTGTTGGCCAGAATGATCCTCTCAGACGGTGGCATGAGCTCCAGGTCCAGGGCTTCATCAGCAGACAACAGCTGCACCTCCAGGAGGAGATCAGCATCAGGAGGAACAGCAGGAGCAGAGCTGAAGGAGAACATCCAACATGAAAAACAGACATGTAAATATATAAACAAAATTAAGAGACAATTCTCTCTAAGAATATACTCAGTGTCTCTGAATTTGCAGTTTATTGTGTGTTTGAGTAAAAAGTTTCTTTTTTTATTATAAATAATAGAAGATACTGATAGATAAATATATGCTGATACTGATATATAAATATATGTATGGTTATAAATATTCACAATGTATTCTGTCTAATTTCTTTTTGATACCATGCAGAATCAAGGCCTTATAAATGGATACAAGTATACTGAATCTAACCTGCCAAGGGCACCATATGCATATTTAGCAGCCGCTTCAATTAAAGCCTTTTCACCCATTTCCATCAGCTGTACAGTGAGATCCAGCGCCTAAATAAGATAGAAACAATAAAGCATTTCATGTTGTTAATACAAGAAAAAAAAATTGTATTGTATTATTTTCTAAACAGTCTTTTTAATACAAGATAAACATTTTAATACATGAAATTATTAATATAAACAAAATCTTAAAGTTCTAAAAATGACAAAAATAAGCCATAAGCTAGGGGTCTGAAACTGCCGGTCTGCGAGCCATTTATGGCCACCCCCCCTCCACCTCTCTCTTAAGCCTAGTTCACACTACAGGATTTTAAACATCAGCAGATCGCTGTGCCGTTCACACTACATGACCTGACTTTGTGTCTTTTAATCTCTGTGGTGTTCACACTACGCAACACTCCGTGAACGATCCACAAGAGGGGGGTCACACACTACATGATCTGACAACAACTCATTCCCTATCAGCTCATTCAAGCTACCAAACCACAGCCAATGAAAATTTGAGGGAGGAGTCGTCAGAAAAAAGCTGAACACTATTGGCTGCTTGTGTGCTGATTACATCACTGACAGCGTTTCAAGCTTTGGAGAAAGCATTTAAAAACATCATCAAATCAGCTGATTTATCAGCGGATAAATCACTCATCTGCAAGGTTCGAGTGGAGATACACAGAGAGTTTTTAATTTTTGTAATTTTATAACTCTTTGAAATAAAACTAACATATTTATAACACCCTGCCGTTTTCTAACTATCAGTGTATTTCTTTCTGACATTGTTATTTTTTTATTACAAAACAGTAAAGAACTGAGCATTTCTGCCTTAAATTACCATATTGGTTAAAATGACTGCATGCATGTCTGATACTTTTCGCTGTGACTTTAAATATGTGTGCATTTTCTTGCCTAGCAACTTCCTGCTTACATAAACAAAACTTTCTGATGGCAAAAACATCAATTTACTTTAGATATCTTTAAAAACAGCATATTATGTGCTGTGAAATAGCTCCTGTTTGAAAGTGAAAATGAAAACCAAGACCTTTAAGTGTTTTAGTATCTTAACTACATTTTTATAGGCTGTATTACAAAAAAAAATATTATATTTTCAGGGTAATGGTGTCATTAAATATGATGCCAGACATTCAAAGCTTAATTTTAATATCTCAATAATAGCTTTGAATGTAAATATGTTGTGACAATATGGCGTTTTATATAAGTACCGTCAGAATGAGCAGTATGGTAATTCTAATAGTTACAGAATTCTAGTTCCACTGTTAATATAGCCTACTCTCATGTCTGTGCTAACGCAGAATGAAGCCAGTGCACCGATGCCCATTCTGACCAATCACAGATGTTTCTGCTGAGCTCCTGAACACACAGGCACGCGTCTCATGCTGATATGCTCTCTCATTGGCTGCAGCTCGTCACTACATCTGACCACACGTGGGGTTGATTCGGCCGACTGCTCTGGAATATTTAGCATGCTGAATGTTGGATTTCCGTCTGCGAGGTGTCGGCGACGCGTCAGCGAGCCTCGTTGATGCGTTGTTCAGTAGTTCACACATAAAGAGCGGCGAGCGCCGAGCACCCGCAGATTTCTTCCCGATCACAGCCCGATCTGTCGGCGAGCTCGTTAACTTCCAAATCGGGCTCAAATCAGGCTTAAAATCCTTTAGTGTGAACTAGGCATTACCCGCAACTAAATAATATTAGGACATGTTCTCACCCTGGATGTAAACAGTTGCTTCCTTTTTCCATTTATTTTGTTTGATTTTTATGCTTTAAATTTTTTTTTACTGACGTCAAAAACGTAAAAAGATTGGGCCCACCAAAACATATATTTTTGAATCCCTTTCATTGTTGTGCAGTCACATATAGCCACTTGTGGTTTTGACATTTAAAGTACTGCACTTTATATGTACATTCGGTTACCCTCAGCATGCAGTCGAGATAATTTGGCTAATATTTGATTCAAACTGTCTCATTTAATAGACTTTCCTCAAATGCATATTAAAATTTGTATAAAAAAATATGCTATTACTAAAATTTTACAGCTGGTTGAACTGATCATATTAAAGCAAATGTGAATATACCAAGCGGCAACATCCCACTCTCCTGAATCTAATATGGAAGTAACTGAAACTGCAGTTCATCGACTCGCCTTTGGGGGGCTGGCTCCAGGAACTCCAGATGTTCACTGACTGCAATACTAAATTGGAAAATTTTACAGCTGATAAAAACATGTTTCAAGCCTGGTACGAAAGATGGTTTTGGTGCAAGTAGTTAATATTACCCTTTGTGACAACTTTGAGAGGTGAATTTTTTTTATAACCCATGATTTCGTTTTTGTTTAGTTATATTAAGTCTGCATAATTAAGAGCGTGGCCACTTGAGTGACAGCAGTCATGTCACCTTAGCTTATTCCGGCTGATTAGCCGCTGAACTCGGCATATGCATCGTATTTTTGTTTTGTTTTATGTGTATTTAAATAGTTAGTTGCTTTTTGGATTTCCTACATCTATTAGATGATACTTGATGATTTACTTAAGATAATTTATAATTTTTTTGGACCTATAATGCAGAATCTGACAGATTGCTAAGCTGTAGGCTATTGAACAGTCAACTGAAACGCTGTCATACAGTTTTATGCCTGGATTTCATAAATAGCCTTGCGTTTACTAACACAAACTATATTTAAAGTACTTGAAAGTAATTCACATTTTCCTCCTGTAGGAAAAACATCATAAGAACAATGCTTAGTGGCTCAATGTATTACAACAGGGTTTTTAAAAGACTTTATTTATAACATTTTATTGATACCAGCACATGTGGTCAGAACACAAACAAGTCGCAGGTAATTAAATGTTTCTCCAAAAAAAGCCTGTCTAAGCAAAATGCTAGCAAGCATCTGTAGCTCCACTGATCTCTGCCTCTTTGCCATTGTTTGGTCACTCCCAGTTGGTGCAATGAAGCACAAACAAAATGGCGACAGTTGGCCACACTCACTTGTAGCTTCATTTGCGCTTTTTAGAAACCTATGGGTGACATCACGGATAGTACTTCCATATCTTTTACAGTCTTTGGAACAAAAACATTCTTTTTCCTTTTTTGTTGTAGTTTTACAAAAAAAGAAAGATATTTAGAAGAACATTTGCCAGTAAAGTCAATAAAGTTGACCAAACTGCTTTCTGCTGTTCTTACGCTATATGTTAAACTTGTGGTTAAGCAAAAATTGGTTGAGACAAAATAACAATGATCTTTTCTTTGCCTATTATTTGTATTATTAATTCATTCATTTTCTTTTCGGCTTAATCCCTTTATCAATCCACAGTGGAATGAACCACCAACTTATCCAGCATATGTTTTATGCAGCAGATGCCCTTCCAGCAGCAACCCATCACTAGGAAACATCCATACACACCCAATTCACCTATACCACATGTCTTTGTACTTGTGGGAAAACCAGAGCACCTGGAAAAAGCCCAAGCCAACACAAGGGGAACATGCAAACTCCATACAGAAATGGCAACTGATCCAGTCGGGGCTTGAACCAGCGACCTTGATGCTGTGAGGCGATTGTGCTACCCACTGCGAAACCTTGCTGCCTAGTTGTATTATCATCATAGCAATTTAAACTACTCCTTCAATATGTCCAACAGGAGACAAAAAGCTTTAGTTTTGACTGCATATACTTTGTGGAGGAATGACTGAGTGTGTGTCTAATCAATGGTGATAGGTAATGCTTGAAATATAAAGGCCATGTTTGTTGTCCTAAAATGCATCAATTTTGTCAGGTTTCCACTTTTTTGTGCTTAAATGTTAAAACGGCCCTCCTATGAATTATCAGTCACTGAAATGGCCACCCAGCTAATTTGAGTTTGAGACCCCTGCCATAGACTAAAACACAAAGTAAAAAGAAAAGAAAAAAGCAATAAGAGTTACTAAAATCCTACATTAGACCACAACTAAGGACTTATAAAACTAAGGAGATATACTAAACATACACAATACAACTATGGAGATATAATAAAACATACCTGAAGGACATCCCCATCCCCAAGTGTAAATGATAAATCTTTCAGCTCGTCTACCACAGTTCCATTAGTAAGAGCAGTTTTAAGATGAATTGTGACATTCTGGCCCTTCTGTGGTCTGCTGTCTGGACCTGCTCCAGCTTCCAGAACTTTCTTTCTCAGCTGCCCATTTCCTGTGTGTTCAGAGAGAAAATGTTATAATGTGATACACATCAAGCAAAAACAGTGCTTTCGTGCACCTCAATTAAAGAGATTTTTGGTTTTTCATAAAGTTTTTTCTAGAATAATGGACAGTTAAAAATAGCATATTATGTCTTATTTATGTTGTTTTCTTCTACTTTGAGCCATAAATCTCCACTTTAGCAGTTTTAAATTCATCAAAATGCAAAGTTTATTCACATCCATATTCGGAATGTTTTTACTTCAGGATATTTTTTGATTATATTAACAAGTTTCTTCCTTCTGTTGAACACAAAAGCAGATATTTTGAAAAATGTTTAAAAAAAACCTGTAACCACTGACTTCTACAGTATGAAAAACAAATACCATGGAACTCAACGGTTACAAGATTTGGACATTTAAAAAAAATATCTTCTTTCTATTTAACCGAACAAAGTTTTTTTTTCCAGAATAATGGACAATTGTTATGGTTTCTCTTATATAATAGCCATTTATGTCTTATTTTGAGTCATAAATCTTATATTGTTTATATTAAAATAATATATTGTAAAAATAACTTTTCTGTCTGTTTGCAGTATTTTCTGAATAATAGAGTAATAATAAGACAAAATCCAATATAATCTCTGTAAAAGTCCTTTTTGATTCTACTATTGTCAATAAAGTGAAACAAAAATTTGAAAACCTGACTTCATTCAATGATCAGATGTTTGTGCAATAAATGTATGCAAAATAGTGAATATTTACTTTTAAACCAAAGCTAATTTGCATATTTAAACACAATATTTAAAAAAAATAATATTTTCGTCAAAAAAAGTTAAACAAGAATTTCCAAATCCGACTTTATTCGATGATCAGATGTTTGTGCAATAAATGTATGCAAAATAGTGCATATTTAATTTTAAACCAAAGCTAATTTGCATATCTAAACATAATGTATTAGTAAATTTGTAATACAAAAAATCTTCACATTTCTTAAGACAATCAACTGTGTAAGTATGGAGGTAAATAATAGTAGCTTTTTTTACCTTGTTCACTTACTCTAATCAAGCCAAAACAAGTAATAAATGCACTCCTTTACTTTCCAAATTACACATAGTTTTATTTTTATTCCTACTATAGTAGCCGATGTGTGCCAGCAACCAACATTCTTCAAAACATTTTCTTTTGTGTTCAACATAAGAAAGAAACCTAAACTGCATTTGAACAGGAGTGAGTAAATGATTACAGAATTTTCAATTGTTGGGTGAACTATCCCTTTAAACAAGCCAAAATATTGTACTAGAAACCCAGACACTAAGATCGATAAACCATCTGCACCATAACAGTGTTCAACAAATGTGTTTAAACGTGTACCTAAAACATCCAGCCACTCTTCTGGTTCTGCAGAAGGACTTTCTGCAGATTTGTCTTCTTTTGCAGGGTCTTTAGCAGGACTGCTCTTCTTCTTTCCTCCACCTGCATCTTCTAAAGGCGGGAGATCGTCATCCACGTCATCCTCCAAGTGTTCCAGCATCTCAAAGTCTTCTCTGCTGTCCAGCAGTGAAGCGCCAGCAGATTTCTTAGCCAACGGCGCCACCTCGTGGTCATCCGCAGAGCCATTCACAACATCACTGTCCGCCATCTGAGACAAATAACATGTTTAATCCGGTCCTTTCTGACAAGGTTTAAATGAATAAATACAATACAGAATTTTTGTTCAGATCTTTTTAGAGATACAAAAATAAAATCTTTTTTTGTTCAGTAATTTTTATACCCAACTATTAATTTAGCACCTTTAGATGTCAAAAACACTTCCGGTTTCATCACATGATTAATACATTTCAATGAATCAAAAATCACTTTAAATTTTACATTTAGATTAGTCTAAAATAAAATGATAATGCAAGTCATGAAAAAATAAGGACATTTTTTTCTGTGTAAATTTTATGTTGTTTTAATGTAGTTTTGTTAATGTATATATGTGGATGTCCTTAAATTGCACTACTTAAAAAAAACCCATTTGTTATAACTAATTCTTAATTACATAAAATTATATATTCAAATCTTTCGTCATTTCTTACCATATGAACATGATTGGTGACCAAAACAATCTACATGAAAGTGAAAAAGCTAAATTAAAAGAGCACTATTTACAGAAAAAAAGCTCGCTTCAGCTAAACAGTTTAGTTTTAAATCCATTTAATCCATCCATTAGCTTAGCATAGATCAATGAATCAGATTAGACCATTAGCTAATCACTGAAAAACTACCAAAAAGTTTAGATAAGTGTCCTATTCTAAAGCTGGACTCTTTTTTTGGTTACAATGTGTAAAGTTGTTTTTTTTAGGCTGATATGGCAAGAAACTAAACTCTTATTCTGGCGTAATGATCAAGGAACTTTGTTGCTGTACCATGGCTGCAATAATCTTACGCAATGCATTATAATAGTTCAAGACTGTCTTTCACAAATGTCCTGCCAGACCTGGAGATCAGCTGAATAGATTTAAAAATGGTAAAACTCAACTGTTTAAGTCGAGGGGAGAAGTAAAATGAGCTTATTTTCAACTTTTAAACTTTACTTTAGTTTTTAATTGTACGAGAAAAAAACAGCTTTGATGTTCTTTTGTGTTTCACAGTTAATTTTGCAGTGTAATTTTTACATTTACATATACAAAACCATAATGCATGCACTGTTAATTTTGCCTTCATCTTAGCTTTGTTACATTTATCTATGCTTGAAGTTTGCTTATTACATGTTCAGCGCGATTTACTCCCCTACAGAATCATCCCTATCAATCAAAATAAAGACATTCAGTAACACTATAGGGATTAATTTTCACTATTAACTAGTTGGCCATTAGCATGCATGTTAAGATAGTGGCTGCTAATTAGTACTTATAAACCACGTGTTCTGCATGATCTTATTCTATGTCCCTAATCCAACCCAACACCTAAACTACTAAAGGAGCAAACTAGAAGTTTAGTAAAGCAAAAGTCAAAATGGTTTGCTAAGAGCAAGAACTGAACCTTAAAATAAAGTGTGACCAAAAATTCTTTCCAAGTATAACAATTAAGCTAAAGTTGGTTTTATATTCGCACATTCACTCATTTTAGAATAGAAAGCACTTGTGGTGCACTACTTCGAATGGTTGGTCTGAAATAGCATGTATACATCTTCAAATCAAAATGAGCACTACTTCACTGACTGTGAACAATGTTGTACTTTGACTGTCTTTGGCAGCTAATAGGATTTCACTGCTTCGAATTTGAAAAGATTACTTTTTTGAAACTATAGTAAGAAGGTTACAGTTTAAATGTCCAAATATAAACCAGCTTTACCTCAATAGTATAACAAAGTATATGGCAAAATATATATTGTAAATATTTTCAAACAATATCGAAATATATTGCAGAAAAACAATAATCTATCTATCTATCTATCTATCTATCTATCTATCTATCTATCTATCTATCTATCTATCTATCTATCTATCTATCTATCTATCTATCTATCGTACAGTAGAGAGATGAGATCTAAACTAATAAAAATATCTGATCTTACATTTCAAATTCAGTCTAAATAACAGCACTAAGAAGATGTGTGATTGAAACAATACAGTGCAAGATATACAACTGCATGAACACGGAATGGTAAGATGTTCACTTGTAAATTAGAGACTTTAATATTGGTTCAGACTTTTTTTATTAAGGAAAAAAAGACAATATAAAATACAACATAGAAAAGGTGATACCATTAAATCAATTGTTATATTTACTAAAACATAAATAGGGCAGCGTGGGGCACAAAGTAACATGGGGTTAAATATAACACAAAGTTTTAAGGTATTTGCTCAGGGTTGACCATGGCATGCTTCCAAGGTTTTCACCACAGTGCCGGCAGAGGTCTTCCTGCCAATTATTTAAAAAGTTCGGCGAAATTTAGATGAGAAACACGGGAGAAACCACTTTTGCAGCATAAAAGTATTTTTTATTATAGTCGATATATACATATATATATATATATATATATATATATATATATATATATATATATATATATATATATATATATATATATATATATATTTTTTTTTTTTAATCTGTGAAAGTATGTATGCAAAATCTTATATTGTTGTGATTACAGTCTTCTAGGCTAAAAGATGAAACAATTTTAAAAGATGTAATAAACACAGTGACTGCTAGCCAGTTTTGAGGAAAACACGACACAGTGGGGTTAGTTGAAACAGGGTGTTACAATTAAGCCACACACTGTTGGGCACCAATTAAACTAACAAAATAATTGTTGAATTTTGAGTGAAATGTTAAGAACTTTTTAAATAAAAATGTTTTTTAATCGAAAAAAATATTTTATTGCTAATGATGCAAATGAATACACTGTATATTAATGTATAAATTAATAATAATGCTAATAAATCCAAATGTGTTTATCCAATAAATAAATTAACATACTGTGCTATGTAGAATAAAAAAAAGAGTCAATTACTGAGGAAATAAAGCTACTATTTAAAGTAAACTGAATTTAAATTAATTGTGTGAAATCTGCCTTTATAAGCATGTGTTACAATTAACCCCGTCTGTTACAACTTGCCCCACAGGTTGGATAAATGGTAACATTTTTACTCCTGGCACTTTGGCAATACTGCACAGAAACCATGGGTCATAATTTCAGTGCTCATTTGTAGGAGAGGCTAGTGTGTTATTAGTAAAAAAAAAAATAAATAAAAAAAAAAGGTTTGTCTAACCCTATTACTTTATTTATTACTTGACCAAAACAAAAAATAGTTTCTAAATTGTGACTATTAGATTTAACTTATATATACTATTTAAAGTTTTAGTTCTTTTAATACTGAATTATACCCTATTCAAATGTTATGGTATTCCTGACAAACTCCAAATACTCATTATATTACCATGTTAAACGCGTAAAAACATGCTATTACTATGACTGATTTTGCTTAATAAATAAACCCCAGCTATCGTATAATTAGAAACTTTTTTATTGACAATACAATTGCTCAATTGAGGTAAAGTTAGTTTTAATTTCACACCATTGGACTTTCTCCTTAATAATGATTTCAAAACTCTAAATAGTGAAATCATATTAGCAGTCAACGACTATTAAAGTATAACATTGTTCACAGGCGATTAAACAGTTTTGTAGTCAAACTTGCATGTGATTTCAGACCAAATACTCAAAGTACCATGGTAAACAATATAGGCAGAATGTCACAAGTCGCCACTGAATGAATCTGCAAATATAAAACCAACTTTACCTCAATGACCGATAAAATCTTCGTTGAAGTGAAATGACACATCGTCCACGCGTGAATATTCTGTTGTAATTCAGTGCTACGTCTTCAATGTGCATTATAATGTTCATCTTATATGCCTTCAAAAGGTTTGTATTTCATTACGAACGCGGGCGATTGCTTACTGTAAATATCTTGTTATTATTTGCAGAAATGTCAGTTTTTCCAGAACGTTCCAACAACTTTGAGACGGAGCGCGCGCACGGCTGAGTGCAGCGTGATGACACAACTCTCTTATAAATGTTTCTGTGCAATAAAACGTGTGAAAAGTGCTGTAAAAGAGCAAAAGCTTACCGCAGTGAGAAGAAAATACACCTCAGAGCAGCGCAGCAACAACTTTCACAACAACACAAGATCAATCTCTGCAACTTCCGGGTAAAGGTCAATGGTCATCGCAGACAACTACAAAATAAAAGTCAGAGTCAAGGTCGCTGCAATGACTGAGGGGACTTTTATATTCCATAATATAAATGCACATTCAACAGTTTAATTGATTTTATTTTATTTCTTCCAAAAATTAAAAATGTGTATGACAGTAATTTCTGTTTAATATTTTAATATATCAATTAAATTCACATTTCTATCAATATTAAAAACAATTTATATTAACAATATATGATTACATATGATAAAAATATGAAAATAATAATATAAATAAATATTTTTATATATCCGTATAAACATAGTTTATATTTAATATTTATTTGATTTGTTTGAACCTATTTACATAGAACAAATTTAACGACATAATTGTTTTCTACATTCAATTATATATTAAATGATAAATATTGAAACTGAATTAAATGTATATCAATGTAATAAAATAAATATAATATTTTTTAAGTAGGGCTATATAACATTATACTTTTGTATTTCTGATGTTTTAACAATTACATGTATTCTTAAAGAATTTAAAACAATTACTGATGATATTTAAGATTTCATATCACCTACATATTTATTAAATTTAATTTCATTATTATTTAGTAATTTTACCACTGTACATGACATATTTTCTAGTTGTTTTTAATATACTAATCTAATATTAATATTAATTAATATATCAATTCATGTGTTTTTTTACCAAATCACTTATGAATGATTTAATATTTAAAATATATATATATATAAAAAAACTGAAACGCACAAAAATATCAAATTACATTTATTATTGATGCATTTCTTTTTGATAAGCAAATTTTCTTTTCTTTTTCTCAGTCTAAAGAAACTTTACAATATAAAGAAACATACAAAGGACATATTTACCTACAACAAGACACCTAAGGCCCTAAAAACACAGATCTGAGCTATACCCTACAATGAAATACAAAGCAAACCCAATGGGACAGAGACTGCTTCATATTGAATACTGTCAGGTCGCAAGAAAGGACGATGAAAAGTACAGGGGAAACTCTTGTCATTCGCCTTCCCGCTCCAAAATACACGTTTGCCGCTCAAACCTCTTTCTAATGTTACAAGGTTATATACACATCACAACAGAAGTGCAGAGATGGTCAACAGAACAAAACATTTCAGCCTTAATCTGAGGTAAAACTTATCCAATTTGACGGTTAAATTGCTGTAAGGTTGTGTTTTCTGTCTCGAATGTTTCTATATAAACTCGCAATATGATTTCCGTTCAGCTTAAGGCAAGACACTGCAGGTGAAAGAGGTAAACAATAGTCGAATACTTATCGCCATGTTGATAGATTAGGCTACATTAAGAACTGCATATTGAAATGTATTTATTTGATATGAAAGTTATAATGTATTAGCTCACACGTTCTTAAACGTTTAAATATGCAAGTTAGGAATATTTTTGTTTTAAATGTCATATTTTACACACAATGGCGCATAAACATACTAGAACTTCTATGTTAAGCTGCTTTGACACAATCTACATTGTAAAAGCGCTTAGAAATAAACATGAACTGAATTAAAAATTTGTACATTGGATGAAATTAGTTAATTTTTTGACATTAGAGCAGGGGTGCCCGATCCTGTTTCCGGAGATCTACCACCCTGCAGAGTTTCAGCTCAAACCTTCATCAACCTGTCTTTAATTACCAAGTGCTCCTCCAGATTCTACTTTGTTGGTTTAGTGGTTTTTGAACAGGGTTGGAGCTGAACTCTGCAGGAAAGTAGATCTCCAGGAACCCCTGTATAAGTGTAAAGTTTTTACAGAGGGCATTTTAGAAATGTTTTATTAGGCTACTCACCAGAAAATACTGCAAGCAGTAAGAAAAAGTCTCATTATTTTGTAGAATAATAAATAGTATAGCTAGGCTACTTGTGTATCGCTCTAAATATCGTTAACAGGTATAAAAGGGTGTATTTTGGTGTATGTAAAGCTGCTAAAATGGAGATTTTTGAACAATTTTAAGAAAACTGTATTGTTAAAACTTGTATTGTTATTAAAATCTACACACTGCAAAAATGCTTTTCTTACCTACATTTTTTTGTTTGGCTTCTAGTCCAAATATCTAAAAATTCTTAAATCAATAAGCGTTTTCCAGACAAGCAAAACATATAGTCTTGTTTTAAGAAATAATCTAGCAAAATTAAGTGAGTTTTCCCTAAAACAATCAAAATCTTTCAATGGGGTAAAGCAAAATAATCTTGTTTTTTCTTTTGACAAAATATTCTTACCCCATTGGCAGATTATTTGGGCCATTTTAAGGAAAAACTCACTTTGTTTTGGCATATTATTTCTTAAAACAAAACTATATGTTTTGCTCATCTAGAAAATGCTTCTAGATTTAAGAATTTTTAGATATTTGGACTAGAAACCAACCAAAAAAAAAATGTAAGTAAGAAAAGCATTTTTGTAGTGCACAAATTGATAAAGCCCAACAAAACAAACTAGAAGTCGATTTTGGATGTTTTACTAGACTAAAAGAGGAAAAACTTTATAAAAAGACAAAACGCTGTCTGCAACAGTTGAATGAAAAACACCTGCAGTGCCTTGCTTTAAAACTCAAAGTATTGCCTTCAGTTTTCTTCACACCAATAAATGTTTAAGGAATTTAAGCTTTTGAAAAAAATAAAGGCATAAACCTGTTAACTGACAATATGGCTGACCATTGATCTGCAGATTTTTTACAGCAAAAGCATCTCTTTAAAATACAAAACACAAATTCTTTATAACTTACTCTCAGCTGTACTCATTGGTTGTGACTGACATATCAAAACATGTCAATGATATCAAAATGCATTTTACAGTATTTACAGTAAACCAAAGTTTAAGGGTTAACGGTCAAAAAGGGTTAAGTGCTGCGTACCAGACAAACCAAAGCAAGCATGGAAATGCCTTTAGAACTTACCAGGAGGCTCGGATGGATAAAATATAGGCTACTTATAGTCTTGGAACATAAGCATTTGAAACTGGCTTTGCTAGAGTTTTAAGTCCTTCTTCAGGGGTCACGCCGATCATAATGCATGTGATTTTTGAATGTCCCGTGATGATTGATTCATATGTTCAGGGATGAAATGCTAATTAAAAAAGTGTTGGCATGAAATGAAATTTAATGAGGTTACAAGTTTTAATGGAAATTCAAATGCAAATGAAGATGGCCGCAAATCTGTCTGAATCATATTTTCCTCTTTTTATATATATATATATATATATATATATATATATATATATATATATGGCCAAAGTCATCATACATATGACCAATGTTAAATTGACGTCAAAATTAAAAATTAAAGGTTCAAATTTTGTACATTTTGTATTATAATAAAAGAAAATCTACATGCATATATATATATATATATATATATATATATATATATATATATATATATATATATATATATATATATATATATATATATATATATGGCCAAAGTTGTCATTCCAAAAAATGTAATCAATTAAAATTATTCAGTTATATTAAAGTAATATGATAAAAAATAAAATACAGATGCAAAACTCAAATTAATGCAGTGTTAATTGTCAGGTCAAAAAAGCTTCTAAAATACAGACACAATAATGTAAAATAAAAAAGGTTAAATTTATGTCAAAATTTCGACAATTAAAACAAGATTCAAAATTTGTAAATGAAATTAATACGATAAAAACACAAATCTACATGCAAAACGAATGCAAAGTTTGGCAAAATGTGCTTAATTTTCAATTCATAACATAAAATGGTCCTAAAATAGTAAATTAAACAAATTATTTCTTAAATTCGTAAATTAAACAAATTATATACTATTTATTTAGTGGTAAAATATAATCCAGACATCTTTACATGCAAACTTCCCTTTTTTTCTATTACCAAAATCCTCGTATTACTTCACAACTGTTGACGGTAAACTCCGCGATTGGCACCAAAGATGAAAAGAAAAAGAAATGAAACCACACATGAGCTTCACAGACAAGTAGTGTATTGAAAATACCAATAAGGTCCATGACCCAAAAAACAAAACAAACAAAAAAAAAAAGTTATATTTACAGACATGGGACTATAGAGCACAAGGAGAAACTCGTGCTTGTAAGAGCAGCCTGCCTCCAACTACTTTTACAAACACATGGGTAATATTTCTAAAAAGACTTGCAAAACAACGTGGCAAAAACACGTAGTGGCAAAATTACAATGAACGCGAATGATAAAGTTGTCTAGAATGGATGGTAAAATGTATTCCTTATTGACCGGTTTGCTTAGTTCGATTGATGGAGTGAATTGCAATGGCAGTGAATATGAAAACGTCGCCTTGCAGACGCCAAAATGTACTCTAATCTTTAAATACAGTGCCGACGGGTGCGTTAAACCAGTGATTGTAGCCACTTTGTTGACATAGACACACAAAATTGAGGCTGTACATCTTGGAGAAATAGCGCTGACATCAGTTCGATGAAGAACACAGGAAGAGGTATATATGCAAAGACATCCGACGAAACGACTTCAAACAAAGAGACAAACAAATACCTAAAATCATGTAAACAGAAGTGTCATTGTGCATTTGAATGTGTGCTTATTCTGTCATTCTGATGTTGTTGAGATACAAATGTGCCCTTTACAGGAAAATCCATAAAATTATGCGTACATCATCATCATCATCATAGCAATTATGAAAATTATAACAATAATATTATCAATAATATACAAATATATTGTAATGAGACCGTTCCTGCCCCCTAGCGTCACCAGTTTAGCTTCGTTTTCCATTTTAAAATGTACACAGCAATCAAAACAACCGCAAGTTTCAGTGTTTCGTTGCTGATAAAAAGACAACAAAAATAAATGAAAGAAAACAAAAACAGGGCTGAAATAAAGCCACCAGCCTCAATGCTGATGCGCAGCTCATTGTGAAGTGTCTTCCTGGCACAGTCCAACACGCACACACACACACGTACAAACACGCACACGGTGGTTCAAACGGGGGCCATTATTGTCCCAATCCAGACACGAAGCCCAGCAGGCAGGTTAAGTCCATCAGAAGGCTCTTCCTGTGACCCGATGCCTGTTTGCTTTGGGTTTTGTCCTGGACGTCCTTCGCTCCGCTGTTTCGCCGAGCAGCTGAAGAGCGTCATCGCAAAACAGGCAAGAGTGTCGGAGGGAGTTGAAGATTGAGCGAAAAAATAAAATAAAATCAAAACAAAACAACATGCCGAACGCAGCAGAGACGAGGAGAACAGGAAGTAGGATGGGGGAGGTGTTAAAAAAATAAAAATAAAATAACAAAATAAAATAAAAAAAGAGAAGAATCACACACTCATCGTCATGTTGGGTGAATACTGCAACGAGAAAGTGGAGGGACAAAAATGCAATTAAAATTTTGTAGTTGAGAATTGTACCATTTCTGGACAAAACAAGCTTTATGTGGCAAAAATATTTTAAATACAGACCCAATCACACCAAGAACAATAACTCTGATAATAAAGATCTGCTAAAGACTGACAAACTATGATTTTGTTAAATGTTCTTCAGCCTCCGGCGCCTAGACTGCAGCTCTGCACAGGAAGTTGGGCCAGAAGAGAAATGGTTGTGCCCAACTGAGCCTGCTTTCTCTCAAGGTTTTTTTTCATTCACTTTCGTCAATTGGTGAAGTTTTGTTTTTCGTCACTGGCTTGCACATCGATGGATTTGCTTTTCAGTGTTTCAACTTTCAGCAGTGAAAATTAAACCACACTGAATCGAACTAAAGGCCGGCTTACACTGTGCGATTTTTTAAATAATCCTGAACGATTGTAGCATGTCAGACTGCATGAACATGGCTCCCATGTCACACTGTAAATCTCAGCTGTCATAAAGTCAGACTGAACCACAAAGAAGACGCTCCAAACACAGAATAAAATGCCCCCAGAGTTTGACGTCATCCACCCGTTACACTTTCACTATCCCGCGTTCTGAAAAGACTCCTCACAGCAAACGTAAACAATATGTAGCGACAATTTTGCATGTGACGTGTCCGAATAATAAAACAGGAAGAAAAAAATCTGTTTTAACATTTCCCCGTGGCTATTTGAATTGTTGTATTGAAATGAAACGTTTGTCCTCTGACACAGCTAGAACTTGCTAGAATTTAATCCCAACGGGCACTAAGCAGCTGTCTGTAATCATGTCAAACAAACGATCAAAAATCGCAGATTTTAGCCTAGGATTTCAGGAATCATTTAGGATTTCCCAAATTTGTCTCAGATGACAGAATCGTGGCTGAAATCTCAGTGTTAAGAGGCCTTAAACTGAACTTCAACTCTGAAAACTGAACTGACACTGTTTCAATTCACTATAATCTTCATTGTTAAGCTTCTTTGGCTCAATCAACATTTTAAAAGTGCTATAATATAAAGACGAATTGAATTGAATATCGTAATTGTTTTAGCCACCAAATATGAAAAACTGAAAACAATTATTCTAATATTAGCAAAGTTAGTGATAGTGAAAAAGTTAGTGAGAGTCAAATCCCCCAAAACATTAAATAGATAAGTTTATTTTATGTAGTGGTAACATAAATATCACATGGAAAAAATTAACTATCAAAATTATTTTCCAACATAACAGTGTAATTTCGTCAACGAAAATGGTTTGACGTTCAAACAAAAATTCATGTTGGTTAGTTTTTGTTTTTTTAAATATATTTTTGACTAGATTTAAAAAAAAATTTAGTCAACCATAAAGCATAGCTTCTTCATTGGTTTTAGTCATAAATAATATCTAGTCACCTTACTAGCATTGTCAAGTTTCTGTTTGTGTCAAGTTATAGGCAACAAACATTTTTCACAACTAGTTTCATCGATGACATTAACACATAGCAGACATAACCACTACAGAAACACTTGTATACAGTGGTCCCTCACAATAACGCGATTCCCCTTTCGCAGTTTCACAGATTTTTTTTGTGCAATTTGGCATGCTTTTTTTCTACAGCATTTTCTATTATGCTCTGTGTCCTGATTGGCTGTCGACTACTGTCAATCAATCTAATCCATGCCGTGTCTCCTGTACAGTACAGAATGCGTTCAACTAGCTAAATTGACATAAATCTTTGATCTTTAGCAGTGTGATTCTGAAGGGCTGTACTGTATGTTTGCAAGTCCTCTCCCCAACAAATCCCACAATGTCGAAGAAATGTTCTGCATCCTCAAAGGCACCTGCATTAGCACCCAAAGGCAGAGGAAGATGCTAAGCATCGCCCAAAAAGATGAACTTCTAGACATGCTAAAGGAAGGTAGAAGTTACGTGTCTGTAGAGCGCCAATACAGAGACTAAATTATTCTTCTCAAACAAATGTTTGGGACTGAAAACAGGTTTTGATCTTTGGTTTCATTCTACAACACTGGACTTATTTTTTCTCAGTATTTAATGATGGTTTAAACTTTGAGAGTGTTTAAACAAGAGAGAAACGTGTAAAAATGAAAGTATACATTGTGTAGTGAGTGGTTTTACAGCCTGAAAACATTATAATACTTGTAAAAGAAGTAAGCTGACTACTCCGTGGATTTCGCTTATTGCGTGCTATTTTTAGAACCGTGAATAACGACGGACCACTGTACATTATCATGATCTGAACAAGACACATCAGGAACTGCTACTATTGTATGATAGTGAAGGCTAAGGCTGAAATAAACCATGAATATCTACTGGAGAATAAAAAAAATGGCACATTATATTTTTGAATTGTTCCCAAATGCTATTATTCTATCCCAAAATGCTCACCATCTGCATAATTCATCAACACATTTATAATGCATAATACAGTCAGGAATTCAAACTTATCAGACTGTATATTTGCTGACAGTTTCAGACAGTTTGGCTGCATGAGATTCTCCATCCTAGCTCATTCTTGACTATGAGTGAAAGCCCCACCCTCTTATGGAAAGGGGCGGGGAGCATGAGATCATTTGCATGTAAAGGTACACACATGATTTATTTTTTTTCTTTTCAAATTGGACATATATTTGACAGTAAATGATTTGAGGGGTATTCCGAGATAAAACCTCAAAGACAGAGTGTTATTGTGTGATAGTAGGGACACTACTATAGTTCCTGTTTTAATTATTGTTCTTGATGTGAACAGGTCTTCACTGCTGCTTAATAACTGTAGGCATTATATTATACAAGTGGTTCTAGGAAAGCAGGGGAAGACAGCTATAGAGTGAGCCGGTGTGATGATGTGTACTTACACTTTCACTTTGGAATGGGTTTAAAAAGTTGCCTGCCATCTCCCCGTCGTCCCGTGGAGTCCCTGGGGGATTGTTCATGCCTGCCATGTTGTTCGGAGAGTTCTAGAAATGTAAATGAAAGACAATTAGTGACAAAAAGACTTTGGGATACACAATACTAAACTAGTACAAGAGTAAAAATGACAGTTTAGTGTAAAGGAAAATGTTTGTACTGTTGTCAAATTTAAGTCAAGTTAAGTTCCGATTTGAAACTGTTATCATAAAAATGGAGAGCTCTAAGAGATTTGGCTGTCAGACATATCTACTTTCACGTGTTAGAAAATAAAATGACATCAAATAGATTATGTAAATGTAATGTACTATCAAATAACCAATATTATAGGTATACTTAGTTTCACACACAAAATGAAAAACAATATGTCATAATTACAGCACTGTTAACGAATTGTTACATGTATTAAGTAAATCTATTTAAATCTATTAAAACAGTCTATAAATAAAACAAAGCTGTGATAAATTACAAATAAGTCTTAAAAGAAAAACAAATATATGAAATGCTGACTTGGAAACTAATCAAAAGAATTCAAAATGAAATAAAAATCTAATTAGAATGATTTGAAAAACAAATCAAGTTAAAATGACAAGCAAAAATGACTAAAAACCAAAATATAATAAATCCATTCATTCATTTTTCTTCGTCTTAGTCTCTATTTCAGAGGTCGCCACAGCGGAATGAACCGTTAACTATTGCAGCATCTATATTATGCAGCGGATGCCCTTCCAGCTGCAACCCAGTACTGGGAAACACCCATACACACTCATTCTCTCACACACCCACACATTCATATACTACGTCCAATTTTGTTTATTCAATTCACCTTTGAAACCGGAGCACCCAAATGAAAACCCACATAAACACAGGGGGGAACATGCAAACTCCACACAGAAATGTCAACTGGCCCCACAATCACCACACATTCACATATATACAGAGATTAAAGCTCTTACCTTTGGCAACCCATCCATGTCACCTGAGCCTGTAATCAAACAGACAGAGGTAAGACATTAGAATCATCAAAACCTTTACTACTGTAAATAATATTGGCTATTTAAATGGCGATGTCTCACCTAAAGACCCATTCATATGATGCGGCTCCATCGCTCCCATTCCCCCCATTGGCCCGTCAGGCCCCGGACCCATTGGGAACTGCAGAAACACACAGCCTTTTAGTTCCATACCAAAAAAAAGTATATTACCAGGAGGACTGTAAAAAGTAATCGAATTACATTCGGTCTGTTGCCACCAGGGCCAATCGGATTCATCATTGTGTAAATGTTTTCACTGGAATTCGTTGAGTCTACAAAAAAAAAACACACCGATAAATAAACAGAAAAACAGAAATGACATTATATACTATAAACAGACCCCCTTGTATTTCGTGATTCCATGATCACTGAATCCAACGCAAAATCAACAAAAAGTCGCTAATTTTCACGATCCTGCAAAACTCTTAATTAAATGCAAATTAATCACAAAAAAATTCTATAATCTCCCTTAAACATACAGTTCTAAACCATATAGTCATTAAATTTATTTCAGTTTGCAATTTATTGTTTTAAGCAGCGCATGTGATGTATTTGAGTGTCTCTTGAAAAATTACGTCTCACCCGCGCCCTTACAATCCAAACATTACATGGAAGGGGGGCGGAATTGTTTTGCAGCCTGTGCAATAAGCAGGCACGGATGAAGCACGAGTGATTTACATGTGAAGTCAATGCAAAGATTGGATAAGGCATCCTGTGGTGCGAATTTGGTGTTTTGTGCGTTTGACGTGCTTCAGACTACAAAAGAATGTGGGAAATATCTAACAAATGGAGCAATGGGACAGACAGAAAAGCAAGCAGCTTACAATGATGGAGATTGGTTGACGCATGACGGCCACTGGACATTAACAAACTAAAGGACATTATTTGTGTTTTACATGTAAGGCTGGTGTTATGGTGTGCGTAAAATCGATAAATGTTTCTGTTTAGCTACCTGCAGTTAACGAGAGAATTTTAATGGCAGTTTAACAGCAATTCATGTTTTCGGTGTATTACGATAGGGGAAGCCCTAACGCATGCCCTAAGGTACATGTCAGATGGATAAAAATAAGAGTTATACAACTTTCCTTTGGCTCATTCCCTGCCGTTTTAGATCTGTTTTAGATCTTATATATATATATATATATTTGCAGACAATTTTGCAATAAAAAAACAGAAAAAAATATTTATATATATGTATGTTTTTAGGATGTCGTGCGCATCAAAACTGTAACAAAATTTGCGTTTAGGAGATATAAAACTGATATATAAACATGTAATGCTTGTAGTTTGTCACCTTCGCCTAAATGGATCAATGATTTTTTTAACATCATCTCATACTTCATTAAAAATTGATCTCATACTTCAGTTTCTCATCAAATCTTCTTACCAATCAAATGCTCTCTAGTATCTGACATGCCCCGCCCCCTTCAAAACGCTTCATATTTGATGTGCTTGAGCTCAACCACTCTCACAGAGTAGTGATAAAGCAAAACGCTATTTGCAGTTTTTTAAAATAAGGGAGGAGCTACACTATGTCCCACCCCCTCTTTCATTGATATCACGTCAAACATCAAATAAAAATGCACATTTAAAAGCACTTCATAGGACATTCAAGTAAATAAATAAAAAAATATATATTTATTTTTTAGTCTCTGTATATTTTCGAGGAAAGCTGGGGTCATTTTAGTCTATAAAAATCAGAAAAACATCCTGGAGGGTCTGGATTGTAAATTTAAAACCTCAAGCTCTTCGACTGCGGATCAGAAGTGATTTCACATATCGTTCTGCTGGACCATCTCTGTTATAGCTTTCATCTTTTGTTATTTAATTTAGTACGATTTTTAAGCGTTATCCCTGAAAGGCAAACGGGCCTTTAATTCTATTTGCAGGACATTTCCCCAAAAACAAAAGCTTTCAATTTGCAGCTCATTTCCAGTCACTGAGGTCATTTCTATTGTTATGAACTTTCAATAAAAGAACAACTGATATAAAAATTCCAGATAAAATCCAGTGGATCAGATGAACTGGAACTGACCTCCTGGGCTTGGCATGATGGGAGTTCCTGGAGGTCCGCCACCTCCTGGAGGCCCCTGCGAGATGAGCATGAAAATGATTACTCACAAAGCACAGAGCGAGACGGTCAGATATAATCTTGATCGTGACACTCACCACATAGTTTCCTGGTGATGAAGACGAGTATGCTATCTGTGGGACAGAAGAGACATTATGAAACTGGTTCTCAGAGTTCCAGAAATATTGAAATGTTTAGGAGGGTCACTCACTGAGTTTGGGTTTGGGTTCGGCCAAGGCCCTCGACCGCCAGGACCCCTGAAAACACAAGAAGTGTTAGTGTGCGTATAGGAGTGGTATAGAAAGAATGAGTGCGTTTTAAAGAGTTGTCATAAACTCACATGTTCATGCCAGGCATTCCTGGACCGCCGAGAGAGTTCGGAGGAGGCCTCATTCCACCACCATAGTTCTACAAAAGTAGAGATATGAAAAATGTCATTGCCAGTGCATGTACGTTATGATTTTCTTTTGTTCAACTTTAAATGCTAATTCACAATCTGGTCTAATATGAATAGTTTTACAACACAATTTTAGGATTTCTATGTATTTACTGTAACAATTTCCACAACTTGCTTATTTATAAATGAAATAAGCAAGTAATATAAATAAATAAATATAACAAATAATATATTCGTATATTATAAATTTTTAAACCACATAGATAAATATATTATATACATATACATACAAAACAAATATCACACATGAAAAAAAAACATATATATGTATATGTACATATATATTTACTTAGTTTATTTCTTTAATTTTACTTTACAAAGTGAATCCTCATTGCGCCTAACAAGTTTACAGTGATTTAAATGACAAGTTTTTAATGATTATTGAATTAATTATAATGCTTTGTTTTTTTAATTCATCTTCATTTACAAGTATATGGCAGGGTATTTACAACTACTGTATAATTCCATCTGTTCGCATCCCGTCACTTTGTGGCCCCAGCAGCATAGTCGCAAACTGCTGTTACACCTAAAAACATGTTCTGAGTCACTTTATGCTGTGGCGGCGCCACTCACAGCTGTAATGGTCCTTTTGAAGTGTTACCCACTACACATGCATATACTCATATATATATATGAATAGAAATTGTGTGTGTGTGTGTGTGTATATATATACACACACACACACACACACACACACACATATATATATATATATATATATATATATATATATATATATATATATATATATATATATATATATATATATAAATTATATTTTTATTATTTGTGATATTTATTCTGTTTAAATGCATACTAATATATAACAAATAATAAATTACATTTATAAGTAATTTATTAATGACGCTCGTTAACAAGTTTTTAATGATTAATGAAGGAATTATAATGTTTTGTTTTGTTATTTCCTCTTCATTTACAAGCAGCAGGGAATTTACAGCTTCTGTATATCTCTTTCAGTTCGCATCTTGTCCCTTTGTGCCCCCTAATGGCATAGTTACAACACCTTACTACACCTACAAACATGTTCATACAGACCTGAAACTTGCCTTTAGTACTTATTCATTGTTGCTCTTAGTTGTGTAAATTGCTTCCTTGTCCTCATTTGTAAGTCGCTTTGGATAAAAGCGTCTGCTAAATGACTAAATGTAAAATGTAAATGTAAAATGTTCTTAGTCCCTTAGTGCTGCACCCACATACGGCCGTAATGGTCCTTTTGAAGTGTCACCCACTGTACACACACATACCCATATAAAATAAAATAAAAATTTATATACAGTTCTCAGCATATATAAGTACACCCCTCACAAATCCATCTTTTATGTTCATATTTTTAATAGGAAGCTACACAATATTATATTTGTCCATGTACAGTAGATTAATCAGTACTGGAACCAAATCTTTTCTAACAAAAAACTGACAATAAAACCCAAAACTTAGTACACCGAAATTTATATGTTAGAGAAAAATATTAAATACAAATTTTTTAAAAAAGAGGAAAAATCAAGATAAACAAACGAAAAATTTTGTTGAAATTTTGTAGGTTGTAATTTTTTTTTATATTTTGCTTGAATTTAATTGTATTATCTTTCAATTTCAAAAGATGTTTGATGACTAAAATATTATTTTAATGAATATATCTCTTTAATAAATCTGTTTTGTTCAAATGCAACAAATACATTGCTTATATTCACATTTTCAAAATGAGGTGTACTCAATTATGCAGAGCACTTATTTATATTTTTATTAATGGCGATATTTGTTCTGTTTATATGCATATTAATATACAACAAATAATAAATAACATTTATTAGTAATTTGCTTACTTTCCAGTTCACTTCTTTAAATTTATTTATTTTATTTAAAAAACATACAATAAATTACTATATTTATTCTATAAAATGACTAATTCTCTATAATTCTGTATAGTTCTCTTACTTTTATGATCTATGTAATAACAATATTGTTAATAACTAAAATAAGAATAACACCTTAAATAATACACAATTAATAATGTATATATTTTTTCTTTAATCATGGGTTTACATGGATTTTTAAAAATCTAATTAGACTTATTTCTATCTTTTCAATGATTATGTCCTTTTCAACATTCCCAATCAACCGGTTTGATCAACAGGATGTCGGCTAACCTGTGGGCCCATGCCTCCCATTCCTCTGGGTGGGTTCATCCTCATTGGGCCGCCCATGTTTGGATGTCCTGATGGAGTAAAGGAAGAACAATCATTTTAATAATGCTTGAGCGATAAGAGCTCTTCAATAATAGATTTCCCCAAACACAGCTGGTTGTACCAGTCAATGGTGCAGTGCGGTACCTTGCGGTCTGGTGGGGTCCAAACTGTTTGGCAGAAGTGGCTGTGACCCCGGGACTCCAACAGGAGGCTGAAAAAAAGAAAGAGAGCAGGTTACAAATGCCACGCAGAGAAATCAGGATTTCAGATTGGGGTTTGTGGGAGGAGCTAGTACCTGATTTGGCATGCGGAGTGATGGGCGGGGTCCACCTGGGTACCGTGGAGACATGAAAGGCTATGGAGAAAGAGTGTATAAACTGTGAATCAACAGTAAGGGTGTAATCTAATTTCTCACTACTTTGTATGACAATAATAATCTTTAGAAGAAAATACATAAATCATTGCTTTAATAAATAGAAATAATGTGTTCAATCCCTCTGATGATTTTCACTACAGAAGTGACTGATAACTGTTAACAGAACATTGTATGGATACATTACTGAAACTAAAGGAAATATTTGGATTTTGAGATGCACAGTGCAATGGTTAACACCAGGGGGCGCTATAACATCAGATAAACTCCGTCATTTCGAGTCTGAAGAGATCATTTTATAAACATAGGTTCTCTCTACTCTGACAAGGTGAGGCTGCTTGTTTAATAAAGGAAACATCTGTTATTTTAAACAAAACGTTAGACCAAAAACATAGAAAGATCGAGGTTAGACGGTAGAGCAGTAAAACAAAAAAAGACAACTTGCACACAAACAAAATGCTAGCCAGGCAGGAGGCGACAAGTTACAGCAACAAGTAATTTGTCTAATCAGCACCAAGCAAAACCACTGCATGACGCCACGCAATCCCAGCCAATAAGAGCATATTTGAGGTTTCATATAAAGATATGTGGCGTTGGACTTTCAACCAATAAGATTTCACTGTGGGTGAAGTCATCCAGTGGAATGCACAGAAACGAAGCACTGCTTAAAAAAATATATATCCAAGTAAGTTTGATTACATCTAGTAGTAGTAAGTCTACTTTAGGATTGAGCTCCTTGTTCAAAGTCTTTGTTTCCAGCTCTGTTCGCTCCAAGTTGCAGCAAGTTTGTGTTTGTGCAAGGCTGTGTTTGTGTTTGCGTATTTGTGTTCGAGTGCCTGTGTTTATCCCTGCATGTGTAAACGCAAGAGCATGTTTGTGTGTGTGTGTGTTGCATTATTAATAGGATATTGATGGACTATGAAGGACTGAGTGCAGGGAGGGACCAGGTCTGCAGAGTCCCGGCTAGATGAACTTCCACTCCTCACGGGCTGGGCCGAGGCCTGCATTATTTATCTGGCAACATCGTCACTGTCAGTGAGGAATATGTGTGTGCGTGTTTGTGTTTTCAGAGAGAACCGAGAATGAGGTAATGTAATGCTTTGTGCTCTATCTAGAGATCGGTCACGATGGTCACCCAGAAATCCAGCAATTGTTGATGCGAGTCTGATTACATTATTTGTTTATTTGTTCTTGTATTCAAATTATATTGAATAAAATTTATGACATACTTTAATTAGCATGGAAACCCCCAAATAAGCAATGCAGAGGTAACTGGTTCAACTCTTCGAGAACGCAATGAACTGCACACCTTGACATGATGCAAAGCATTTGGGATAATTGTATACATATAGGGGTTTGCAGTGGAGTCAGATTAGTCTACTGGTCATTTCTGATTTGTTAAATTTGAAAGACTAGTTTTGCACAGTACTATATTTAGCAAGCAAGGAAATGGTACAAAAACAAGACCAAGAAGCAGCTATTGTATTGATATATAGGTCTTGGGAATTAATCAAATGAAAAAAAAAAAAAGAGTAAAACAGAGGGGTGATGATAGAAGAGGTCAATGGAAAGTTGTAGAAGCTCTTGAAAATTTGACCTACTCTCAAGATGTGTGTACAAATCAGGTTAAGTGTAAAAAAAATAGCAAAAAAACAGGTGGACAAGTTTCTTACCTGGCCGTGTGGCCCCATCATGGGGTTGTTGGGGTTGTGTGGAGGGGGCTGTGCATGTGGTGATGGTTGTGACCCGGGTGGGCCCTAAGAAGAAAAGAAAACACAAGTTAGAGATATTGCATTTTAAAACCTTTACACAAGCCATACATTTGATGACCAAAGTAGGTTGACTAAAAAAGTCTTATTGGCTAAGATTAGGTTAGGGTGATTTCAGGGGTCTATGTTGGAAATAAATCCACCCTTTATTACCCAACAAAGGGCATCTCCTACAGGGCAAGGCAGCTGCTGAACCCCATAACAGAGCTCCACCACAAGGCCTCCTCCATGCCTTTCAATGGGAGTCCGTTATGAGTAAGTAGGAGAGACATATGGCCTTTACCGAGATGCCTGTTCCTGCACCACATCCCTGTAGAGAGTGACTGAGGAATAACTTGGGCTGGAATGTGTGTGTGTGTGTGTCTTGGGTGAGGAGGGGGGTTTGTTAAATGAAGCAATTAATAAAATCATTTTCTACCCAGCTAAGGAGATAACGGCTTGGCACCAAACTACAAGAGTAGCCCCTCCCGCAGAGTAAGGAACGGCACATAGTATTCCTAGCGGGACAGTGGCATAGAGGACAGCAACAACCACACAGTCCAAAGAGCTTCAGGAAAGCAATGCTACTTCCCAACCAAAAGGGGGCAGTGTGACGCTACTTGCAGAGTGACTGGCGGGACACAAAGTACCAAGCAAAACAAAGCTTGGAGCAGCAACACGATGCATATTTCATTGTTGCCTCTGTGTACATTACCAAAAAATTATGACAAATTTGGCAAATGGCAAGGGATTAAGCAATTGGTGTTTTTGAGGGTGTGCCATTTCAGAAGGATGTTCTTCAGTAGTCTTGGAAGTAATTATTCAGATAAGTGCAGCTGTCACAGAATCTGTCACAAAGCGAGACGATAAATGCAACCTGATACCATTCAAAGTCTAGATGACATTTTTGACAACTAGGGCTTTCTGATAAAAAGAAATCTTGCAAGGCTGCTCACATCAGAGAGGTACTTTGACTTTAAACTCACCCCCAAATTATGCAAACAATTAATTTGAAAATCCGTAGAGCCACAGCCTAGCAGTAAATAAGTCTCAAAATATACAATAGATTTAGATACGCTCGAGTAAGGGGGCATTTCTGCGCCAACAGAACTACAACACTGTACAGTGCTGGACCTATTTCAATGTCCCAAGACTCCTGCACCTTGCAACAAGTCAGAACAAGATCCTTCAGTCCTTTTAACCTTGATGGAACTCTCCCCCTCCAGAGTCTGCCAGTCTTTCACTTTTCTCAGAGTTCTGTTGGTTTTCAGGAGGATTTTTTGTGGAAGACGGGCTGATGAAATTCTCCCACCTTCTTCCCTCAAAACAAACCCATCCATTTTAGATGTTTCCAGCTAAACTTAAAACTATTTCTCTTTTTTTTTTCCACTTCTTGACTTAGTTCCCTCCCTGCCTCCCTCTTGCTAGTCGGTCCTCCCAAGAGGAGCTGGTGCAGTGGAGTTTCAATGTGAAGATTATTGAAGAGGCCGACCCATGCAATGGGGGGAATAAAAAAAAAAGAAGAAATCATACGCAATTTCCAAGATCCGGGCCAAAAGCCAACAAGCATGCTTTGTGTTTCTCTCCCTAAACTCTGTTCGTCTCTCTGCAGGAGGTTGCTGGGAGTCTGGGCCTGCGAGGTACAGATTAGGAGAGTCTGGAGAGAGGGTGTACGGAAGCGTTTAGCCCTCTTCACCTTCGTCCCTGTCTCGCAGGACTGCGCTGATCACATGGCAGCTACTGCGGTCGCATGTGCTAATTATCACCGCTGCATCTGGAGCTGTGCTGGAGACAAACAGAGGCTCAGGCATGCATGCTTTGGCTGCATAGCTCCACTACCAAAATGCTTTTGTTAGTTCAACTGCAACAGAGTACTGTTCACTAGAGTACCAGTACTTACTCCTGCTTTTGTTGGATATGATATTGGGTGAAACATGATTTTACCAAGTGGAATATGCTCCTGGAGAAACATTTTAAACCATCTGAGGGATATATTTACAATAATGTCAAGTTTAGGCTTAAAACAAGAGCAAGGGGCTTCTACTCCAATTCTTAACCCCTGTTTTAGGGGTTATTTATGATTAGTGTTCGGTTTAGGGATAGGTATCATATATGCCAACATTTGTTTCTGAAAATCCAGGAGACCTGGAGGAGGGGGGGGGGGGGGGATGTCAGGGGTGAGGTGTCTGAATAACATCCGAGAACCGGGTACATAACTGTACTATGCCCTGGGTTTCAGGCGGCCGCCAAGATCGGATGCTATACCAAAGTCGGCAGTGTTACTTACTGTATCAAAAACCTGAGTACCCCAGGGCTTTGGGGGTGAAATTACGGGGGTTTTCCGAGAGAAATAACAAAACGGGGGAGTGGCCAGAGAAGGGTCTAAAATACGGGAGACTCCCAAGAAAAACGGGAGTGTTGGCAAGTATGGAAGGTACAGTATATGTTCAAGACAGAAAAAGTTTTTGAAGAGAAGTGCTGTTTCAGGAATAACTAAAGATGTTGAACCAGAAACACGTACTTTCTGGCAAAACCATGTCAACCGCTGTATTTCTGCAAGTTAGTCAAGTTCTTATCCAATAACTCCTATTCAGATTCTGTTACTTAATCACAGATTTTATTTTCAAAGAAACAGAAAGATCATCAATAAAGTGAAATACATGGATAGGAGGTGCTCTTGGATACAATAAAGTTTTGAATCTCTCTGCAGAATCAGCACAAATCACAACTCGTTTCAATAGCAATCCTATTAAAAACAGCTACAAAAAGAGCAGCTCCAATTATTAACACAACTGTGTCCAGCAGCCGCAGCTGACGAGAGTGGGAGGGAGCAGTAGTTAGCTCTTGAGAGGTGTGAAAGAGTGATATACTGGCCACTAGGATATATGCCAAGATATAATTGGTGTCACCAGACCACAGCAACTGGGCGCGTGCAATCGGGAAGCATACATGGAACGCACGTGGGCCTTGAAGAGCCTGTTTTCTTGCAATTGTTGCCTCATTGCCATCTCTCTCTTCCTTCCTCTTTCATTTTCTGTCTTCACTCTCTCCATGCCTCTCTTCTGCCATGCCCTGGGCTGCTACCAAGAGGGAATTACTGCAGTGGAGCACAAAGTCCTCCCTCTTCCTCCCTTTCTTAGTTTCTCTCTCTTTCTCTCTCGCTCTTATGCACACAGGCACTATTTATAGAATGCAATGTCACTCACGCAACAGTCAGATCGCTCCCTGCTCTGAACACGGCTCATACAACATTAACACTCTCCTCCTCAACTCAAAATCCATGTCAGTGTTCTATCTGTCAACCCATGTGGCGCTCTACCTGACGCTCATCTCAGCATCTGCTGCTCTATGGGATGCTCTTTCAGCTGTTCTACCTGACAATCTGCAACATTTAAATTTATTTTCCTTCTTGCACTTTTATTTGGTATTATACTTTATGTTCTATTAGCATGAAGGATGTTCTATGTCAAGGGTGTCCAAACTCAGTCCTGGAGAGCCAGTGTCCTGGAGAGTTTAGCTCTAACCCTAATCAAACACACCCGGACCAGCTAATCAAGCTCTTACTAGATATACAGAAAACGTCCTGGCAGGTGTGTTGAAGCAAGTTGGAGCTAAACTCAGCAGGACACCGGCCCTCCAGGATCAAGTTTGGACACAACTGTTCTATCTAAACTTATGACCTTCTATGCATTCTACACGATGCTATATCTGGCACTCTATGCAATCTTCAATCTGTCCTATTTATTCTATGGAATGCCCTGATGTTCTACTAGATGTTCGGGTCCTGTTTACACAAATGTATTTTAGAGGTAAAACAAATAACATTTGCTACAGTTATGCCTTCTATTTGGAAATGCTGGTGCTCTGTGTCAGTATTAGCTAAGAACAAAGGTGTGGATGTCAACATTCGTTCCCTGATTATGTCTTTGGGTCATTGTGTATCTTTCCCTTATTCATCAAGCCCCTATCACATGACCATAATGCTAAATTACCATAAAGTAGATGACAGACCAGTCCTAATGACCTATAAATAATTACATGGACACAGAAATGGAAGCTTTGCATGCACTATGGTCCTTTATAGCAGCCATTGTGCAAAATTTTACAAATCACAAAAATTCTCAATCTCTTTCATGGGTGTTTGTTCTAAAACACTAATACACTTGATCAGATAATTTATCTGAGCCATCTGCTTATATCTACTAATAGCTGATCTAATACTATTGAATACACAGCATTATAATTAATAGTATGGGATGCTATATCTGCCACTCTATCTAATCTTCTATTTGACATTTTTTACACTGGACACTAATTAGGATGTTCTGCTAGATGTTTCGTTAGATGTATTTAAGTTCTAAATCAATGTTCTAAATCATTGACAAGCACTTGATTCTCTGTTTGCTGCTCTATCTTATTTTCTATCAACTTTCATCTATCAAAAGTGAATCGCAAAACTGTATTTAGTGGATTGCGGAGTATTTTTGCAACGCATGACTTTCATTTTGAAAAAGCAAGTTATCCTATAGGCTTTTTCAGATGGGATGCGACAGTCGTGAATGTCCATTTTTAAATAGGAGAAATGCTGAAAGTGGCAAAATAAGGGATAAGTCTAATCTCGGACTAAAATGCAAGTCTGTGCTGTTTCAGTTTTAGTGGTTTACACTTCTGCGTCAAGTGATCGTGACCCATGACGCCTACCTTGTAGCTGTGCATTTATTCTTCTGCGCGCTGTTTGTGTTGCTCTTCAATAACACTTCCGAAATATTAGCAGGCAGCAGGGTTTTATGTTCCTCTGTGTCGAGTTTCTTCACAGGTGTTTTTTTTTTTTTTCCTAAACCCTACCTTAATGGACACGTAGCTATAACTTGCTTATTTTAGAGGCGGGAACCGGCGGACGTGCAACGATTCACAGTGAGTCGGTTGAAAATCGATTAAAATATGTGACGTTTCTAACCAGTATGAATGTTGAATGAATCGCGTTACATGTTTTGAACAGAGGGGGCGCTGTTTACAGGCGCAAACTCGCTTTACTTGCACATCAGCGGCAAGCAAGATGTGGGGCGGCAGCAGTGATTTGCGCCAGACAAACACAATCTGTGTGTAAATACTGCAAAAAGACATTTACTTACACTGACAGAATAACGAATGAAGCAGCACAGTGAAAAACTACTATAAAAGACATCTATACGCAAAAAGCTAATAATAGGCCAAAGCACGCTAACCAGAGGATCGGCAGCTCCGCTTGCTCTGACGAGTGCTAAGGTACAGAGATCACACGGTGCATTAGTGTTTTCATTTAAAAGTGTGAAGATGTTTTTCAGACTGAAAGAGAAAGGTGTGCTGTTACAGAACCAGGTATTAGATTGTTCCTTTTTTACCCTCTCTTTTTCAATTTAGCTCATGCATATTTTAATAATTGTCTTATTATACAGTATCATATATCATAATCAGTTTTTTATGCCAGTGGAGCTAAGGGCTTATTGACCACCTCTGTACCACTGCTTTCTGGTTTAGGATAGGCTTTTCTCTCCACACCAGCCATCTCAGTCCAAAGTGAAAGAGTTTTTTTCAGCAGGGAACAAAGCCAGAAAACATAGATATTCTGATATTTCTTTTAAAAAAAATTTAAGATCCCAGCACAATCAAAGTTTAAGTTCTTCATTAATTTGTATTGTTCATTTTTGATTTGGAATTTGTTTTAAATTTGTAATGTAGCTGCACAGTCAAAGTTTTAGTTTGTTTATATCAAAGAGTCTTCTTTAGTTTGTATTATTCACTTTTTTATTTGGATTGTGTTTTAAAATTACAATTTAGTTGTTGTAGAAAATATTATATTTTGTAAAAAAAAAAAAAATGTTCCCCCTAAATTTGTCTCAAATAATTTTGTTAAAAAATCGTGACTAAATCGTGAGATTAGTATCGTCAATCATGACGTAAACACAAAACAAAAGTTTCCATCTAGAGTACCTTTCATGGGGCTCGACACTTGTAAACACTCGCTCCGTCGGGCTCGCGGCTCTCAGCACCGCCCATACTCGTCACAGCTACCAATCTGACCAATCACAGAGCTTGCGCTACTTGTCATTGCGATGTGTTTACATTTTTCAAGAGGTACGCGTCAGCATAGTCATCACCCACGGCGAGGACTATGCGACCATGCAAAGGCTGCACCCGACCATACGCTTGTGCTTAATGCAGAAGTATAAAGCAGCCTTGAGCCCTGTCTGTGAAACAAGGCATTAATGTTGTAGACATTCTATAAGACGTGCTATCTATTATTCTATCTGATGAGATATTTATACACCTTATCAGGAATCTCTAACCCTGTTAACCACCTGAACCAGCTAAACAAGGTGTTAGAAAAGTGTTGGATCTGACGTCTGCAGGATGTTAGCTCTGATAAAGCATCAGGCATTGCAGATATAGCATGCTGTGGAGTAAAATCGAACAACATGCAAAGCATCTGGTAGAGTAGATAAAAGATCAGACCGAGCAGCAGATAAGAAGATCCAATATGTCAATACATGAAAATTAGATGTGATTGAAAAGCATATATACATTCAATCATCTATCGACTTGCTGGATCCTCTTATCTGAACTTCCATCTACTCTACCAGATGCTTTGTATGTTGTTCGATTTTAAAGTCACTGTATTAGATTTTATCTAAAGAATCTTATTGTATATACTCCACAGCATGCACTGCCTGATGCTTCATCTAATCTTAAATTCTTTAAATCCACTAATTCAGATCGGCTGATCTGATTTTTCTTGCTATACACTCTCTATCATATACTCCGTCTGATCAGATTTTTTCATTGACTAGTATAAAACGGATGTCCAAACTCGGTCCTGGAGGGCCGGTGTCCTGCATTATTTAGTTCCAACCCCAATTAAACACACCTGAACCAGCTGATCAAGCTCTTTCTATGTATACTAGATAACATCCAGGGAGGTGTGTTGAAGGAAGTTGGAGCTAAACTAAGCAGGACACCGGCTCTCCAGGACAGTTTCTACATCCCTGGTATAACATATTCTTTAAGTGGACACAAGTTGGACACATGATGAAAAAAAATGCTTGGTTTACAAATTTTACCATGTTTTAAGGTAGTGTGTGTTTATTTAAAAAGGTAACTAGCGTTTGTTCTACTATAAATAGTGCAATAAATATCACCAAGGCGTAGGAACTCCCACAGGCACCTTGACTTTGGGAACCATGCCCCTAAGCATTCCCCCAATTCCCAGCCCTGCATTTAAATACAGAGATATGTTGTTAGATATGTGTTGCCAAAGCGCTACAACCAAGCTTGCGTGTTTTTACCCATTTTGGCCTTGGGGATTAAACTGTCGAGGCATTCATACTGATCTCAGATCAGGGGCCACAACTCTCTGTTTGTGTCAGTGTGAGTTGCTACTGTACTGAACTACAAATTTAGACACATAAAATGGAAATGAATGGAAATACGGAAAGGGAGAGATAGCAGGAAAGAAACATCTGGATGGGGATTAGAAGAACTAAAGGGGGTTAGAGAAAGGAGGGGTGGGATGAGGGACAGAAAAATGGTAAAAGCTTAGCGCACAGGGTTAAAGCAAGAGGTTGAATAGGAAGATGGGGGAGGAGAGAGTAGCTCTTACTTGAAAGAAACCGGGAGGCATGGGTCCACCTGGCATGCCATCGTTGGGTGGCATGTTGCCCATCACAGGACTGGGAGCTGCTGCCGCACTCTGAAACAGAAAAAAAACACACACAAATAATGAACACAAAAACACTCATTTCCACCTATAACAATAACAATTCCCTAAAATGTAGAAGGTAGAATCTCTCATCAAGCATGTGAGTCCCTCTCAACACCCCAGACAAAGCCAAACTCAGCCATGTCTTTCCCATGATGGTAAAGAAGGGGTAGACAGGGATTACACATGACCCAGCGCCCCCTCCCCCAACCTGTAATCAGATCCCTGGCTCTCATCTGAGAGGAGGAGGGTAAACCGCCTCAGTGCCGCTGACCTTAATAGCCCAGACACTCACTGCTGACCCTGAGAGGGCAAAGGGCACCGTTCCATGCACCAACATACACAGGAACATGAGTCTCTGTGTCTTTAGCGCTCACACATATGTAGTAGCAAATGCGCATATATTCCAGATCGCATAAATCTCAGAAACGCCAACAGGACAGACAGCTCCACCTGTAGGTTCACAGACAAATATGAGCAACATTTGTTTGGGGCCTCATCCCAGCATCCACACCAACTGTTTCCATTTTTTTTGTAAATGCGTTCAGTGACTTGGGGTTCCTTTATTGGTTCTCAAATATCTCAAAATGAACACGAGGTAAAAATAAAAATATGGAGGGGGGCATTCACACCAAGAAATACAAGCATTAAAATATTACATTAGTGTCAATGCCAACAGAGTTGAGGAACTATGCTGTCAATTTTGAATTCAAAAATCCAGAAGCGAGTTAGTATTTTAGCAGTTATGGTTCCCTCGTCCCATGTATGCCTCGTCGGCATGTATGTTTACAATAGGGATTCATACCGGGAGCGGGAACGCGAGCTGCGCTTCAGCGACAAGCAGGAGCGATGCGAGAGGCGCGAGGGTGTGTTTTCTGCGCACATGCGTAAAATTGTATTTGCTTACATTGCTTTCACAAGCTTTGGTTTGGTTGCACAGAGGATAACATCTTTGTATAACATAAAAGTCTTTAAAACCGTCTTTATTATAATGAAAAAAAAATTCACAGGGATAATTGTTCTGCGTGAGAAAATGGATGTGTGGCGTAAGAGCGTAAGAATGCGTGAGATTGGCAGCCCTGTATATGTCAGTCGCATAGTGTGCATTCGGCTGCCACTGGAAATGAGTTATTGCAGTTTAAAATTTAAAAATGACAATTATTTCTGTTTCAAAAACACCCTGGTGGCGTTATGTGTTAGTTTGACAACAGATTTATGTGCTTTAGAAAGCTTCAAAATAAAAGCCACTATCCAACACTATTACAAAGCATGGTAGAGCAGGATAACATTTAAAACTACTCCGACTGTGTTCGTCTGACAGAAAAAAAGTCATATACACTGAGGATTGCTTGAGGGTGAGTAAATGATGGGGTAATTTTCATTTTTGCATGAACTACTCCTTTAATATAGCTTCAGTATTGACAGCTACTACATGCTTTAAGTTATGAAAAATAATGACATGAGCTTAAATTCAAATTCATCCATTTGACTAACAGGAACTAACAGGTTTGGAACTAAATGGAGATGAATAACTGACAAGAGTTTTCATTCTCAGATAAATTATCCCTTTAAGACATTGTCACAAACGTGACAAATCTACCACAGAAACCCGCAGATTTACATGTAATCTATATACAAGGACGCACTTTCTCATAAACGAGGGAAGAAGAGGGGCCTGAGGCTGGCGCTGGGCAGATAACAGGTGAGGTACGGTCAGGCGGCGTGTTTGCATGCAGTGGAGGGATTGGCGAGTGTGTTTGGTTAAGAAGAAGGAGGGGCCATGTGACAGATCGGGCCGGTGAGATTTTGTTTACACAGTGGCTGGTGTAGGTTTTACCAGCACAATGGCTCTGGCTCTATTAGCAAGGCACATGAACGAGTGAAATGAAGAGTGGATATGCTTTGATTAACGCACAAAGAAGAATGACCACCGGCCCATCAGTGGGAACAGGAGTCATTGGTAGCTCTCAACACAAACACACACACATCCATACATACAGTGCGACTCTGCTGCACTCAGGTAGAGCGGCAGAGGGCCCAATCGGCTTGTTGCCATGACAACTCAGACCTTGGCTTTCCCGCTCTCTGGTGCCCATTAAAACCCTCAGGCCGTCAATCACTCGCCCGGCCAGGGAGCGAAAGAGAGGGAGCGCAAGAGAAACCGAGAGAGGAGAATGAAGATAGAGTTTAAAGGAGCCTGTGGCTTTTGATAGGCCTGGCTGTTTGCTACTGCTATCTCTCTCCTTTTCCAGCACATAAACAGACACATTCCAGTTCCTGTTAACTCTTCGCATGCCCTGCTTTGCATAATCATTTTGTTCTCTTTGCTCAAAGCTCGATCGGTCCAATGGTTTTATCCCTATAAAGTCCAGTAACATTTAGCATTGTTAGATAATTTTCACTGCTAGAATGCAGTCATTTCAACAGGATTCTAATGAGCCAGAACATTTACAACATAGGTTTTGGTTACATGGCTTTGCTGCACTAACCAACAGAAATACAAGTTTTGCTCTTTTTTATTCTACACCTATAGAAACAGGATTAAGAGATTTTACTGACATAATAGCTATTTTTACTAAATGCGTATGACCCTATTATCTACTAAAGTGGATTCATTCACAATTAAAACACTGACTCTCACAATTTTGAATAGTCAATAATAAAAGTGAATAAAACTAATTTCAAAAAAACGTATGCAGTCCATTTTTTTATTTAGTTAAACGAATGATTCAATTACTCACTCATGAAAACATCAATTCATTACAAAACCTGTATTTTTGAAATATTCAATTACTCACTCTTATAGACATTGTTCTATTATTAATCTATAAATATTTGTTTAAATGTCTCATGTAGAAATGCAATGACAGAAACACATTTTAACTGTTACTTGTCACCATGTTCTTGCGTAAGTTGATACAATTTTCATTCAACGCAGGGCTCGAAATTACCTATTTTTCTTGGTAGCACTGGTGCTCCCAACTTTAAAAATTTAGTCGCACCCACCAATTATGAGCACCGTTACTAAGCGTTTTATATTAACAGATTTATTGCAAACAAACCCCCAAAAAAATGCATGCTCGCACCGGCTTGACATGCATGAAACTTTGTTAACCATAACCGTGCTGTTCTCACGAGTGGTGTCTGATATTGCACAGATGCTATTGACATATAACTTATTATTTGCATGCGTCTTCTTAATAGCAATAATGGTCTTTACTTAAGCAGCAATATTAGTTTCATTGTAGTGAATGCAAGCCCTTTTGCGATGGTACACACAGTAGCTATCTTTCCATCTACCCATTTTTATGTGCATTTTGGATATGCGCATAAAAAAGAACTGTTGATGGAAATGCCAAGATGCACATAAATTTTGAAAATGAGTAGGACATAACTGAGTAGGAAACACTTTTACTGAACAGATTCCAGTATGCGCATTAAAAAAGGTCATATGATTTTGTTATAAGAGATCATGTGATGGTTAAAATGTGTGTTAATGGATAAACCAGCAGGCTGAGCACACTGTAAAACATCTGAAATGTTGTTTTGGTTATTCTAAAACACCTTAATCATTTCAGTATTAGTGTTTTATATTATTAATTAACTCCAGAACTGTAAAGAGTGTATGTGCTCTGCGTCTGACGCCTTCAAACACCTTCACTGCGTGTCAGGATTGCCTTCTGAGGCACAATTGATTTACTAAATGAAGAAAAGATTCACGCAGCTTCTCCAACCGCAGCAAATTTAGTTTTTACTGTTGATATTTGGTGCCAGTTAATCAGGAAGTGACGATTTTGTTCGATTTGACTAGTTGAATGGAAACACTGCTTTATTCGTATGTCTGGTAAGCATTAATCTAGATTTGCACATTTAGGTTATTCGCATTTTTGGATGGAAACAGATATGGTTACATTTTACATATAAATGCCACTTGCATGGGTGACAGCATCTTGACACTTAAATGAACCATTAAACAGAACCTCTGACGCTTTTATATTGTGTAGATGTGGCAAACGCTGTTACTTGCAACCTCTGTCCCACAGACTTTACAGTGAATGCTTTGGTCATTTTCATAGGACTTTAAGCCAATCTTCCACTCTTCGAAAAGTATAAATGGTGGATTGACGTTTACCACATGATCACTAATCAGTTGTGCCATTATTTGTAATTTCAGGTGGTTTCTAAAACCAAATCTGTCCGTGTTGTTTTTATTCTCTCATCTTACGCGCTTTACATTTTTGTGGCAGTCGCTCCCTATTATCTGAAGGCAGAAGGCATCTTCTGAGTAATTAACAGCTGATATTAACCAATCCATTCGCGTTCAGTTCTAGAGCAGTGGGCCAATCAGAAGAACTTGATGGTGGGGGCAAGCAATGTGGGATTTGTTTACTGCAGCAACTTAACCAAATTTCAGGGGCATAAGCAAGTTAACCAAATTTCGGGAGCATATGCGACCAAAACAGCCACAATTTTGAGCCCTGCAACGCAATGAAGTCCTTTTCCAAAGTGTTTATATCTGAATTACCAACTTGTGAAACTGAAACCATTTTCTAACTGCACATAAAGACTCTCTAGGTGTAAGTGGTGACTTGAATTTAAATTAAATGTTCAACGTGATCCTACTTGTCAAATGACAACCATATCATTGACATTTAGGAATTGGTTGTATTAAAAAAGAAAGCAAACTGATCAAAGCCTCAGCAATTAATGTACTTAATAAATTATTAACACACCATGAATAATATCGGTGGCCTGTATGTTGACCAAGCATCCCTTGGACATACACAGTCCAAACCCACTCAAGTAATTAGCCACTGCGGTTTTAATTATCAGTATCAATTGTGAAGCTCGGCTGGGCAGCAGACAGTGGAGGGAAAGGCTTAATCTGGGCATCGATCAGGAGCAGGGATCCAGGATGAGGAATGGATCCTACCTTATCTGTGCCCAGACAAGAAGGGTAACCCAGATCACCGGCCAACAACAACATGCAC